TGCAGTGTGGAGCCTGTTGAGCTGTGTTTAATCGTGCAGCGTGATTGGTCCCGATAATTACCTACGTCATGATAGACAACTCCTTCAACCAATCCGATTGAGACTTGGTTCGTTACGTTTTTGCCTGTAGTGATCACATGGATGTTTCTCTTACAATCATGAGTGAACTGATTATGGGATAGGATAAGATAGACTTCAGTGATCTTACAATGGATACATTTTCAGTAAAGTATGTACAGTACAGTATAGTTAGTATTTACAGTACAGTATAGTCAGTAAGCATTGTGTTTGTATGTGCGTCAGTGTGTGTACGTGACTGCAAATATTAGTTTATGCGTGTGTCGTGTAGTTCCCTGGGCAGCTGTCACTATAGTAGTAGTTTATCATCAATAATCACATAATTCTTAGTTTATTAGATTTTTATTTATTAACATGCAAAACAATAACAGGAAAGACAGTCCATACAACAAATTCTGAACAAAACTGGCCTAATACCGCCATGTTTGATCTATTAAATCGATTTGAATATCACTTAATAACCCCAATGGTGTATTAAAAAGAGTCTACCTCTAACTCATTGCCAAATGTGTTGCCAGCTAATGTATCTGAGTTTCTATGTATCTCTATGTAACTAGGAAATTTGTTCACATAGGCAATTCGAAGAAATTCATTGAATACCCAATAGTAATTGGAGATCACATTGTTTAAGTCTGACTTGGTATCCAGTTTTTGTAATGCAATAGTGATTTAGAAGACAAAATAGTGCTATACCAAAAGAACTGACCCCATAGATGAAACCTGAACACCACCATCTATGGAATACAGTTCTCATGGTAGAGAACATACATCATTCATGGATTTGCAGCCTCGTATTAAGAGGTGATTTGTAAAGGACTTGGGATAAGATAATATGGTTGAATTGTTGCTGTAATCAAGCCCATATATTTCCCTTCAACATTTTCTGGAGGACATGTTGCTCATATGAATTCCCCTGAGTCTGGCATAACGTCTTTTAGACGTTCTAATCATTATTCAATGTTATTCCATCAGTACTCTTTTATTTTAGAAATATGGATTTTACTTATGTTTGCCTTAAACGGCTCAATTTATGAATTTATGAATACTCTTCCACTTTTCCAGATGAACTTTTCCAATTAAGAAAAATACACAATAATCTAACATAAGGTGTAAGAACAAATCTGTATGTGGATGTTTCGCACATGAGGCCCATTATCTTCTCTGTCAGTACAAATAAACATGTTTTCTCCCCTGCTAGAATTCAGACATAATGAAAATGATCCGTTCATAAGAATGAAATAACAGGTTTGTGGACCCACTAATTAATGTGTATTCATACAGGAAACCTTGCACTCCTGACCTCCATGGTCCAATTCTGTAAAATTAAGTCAACCTATTGTACTTTTTTTATCAATGTTCCAAAACTGTAACAGTAAGAATTGATGATTGGAAACAGAAAATGTTTCCCCTCCTACTTATTTCTTGAGAAAAGTGACGCAAGTATGACTCAGTAACGTCAGCCTTCTTTGGAAAATTGTGTAATAACATCGGTGGCTGAGTGGATAGCACTCTTGCTTCTCAGCAAGAAGGTCCAGGGTTTGAATCCCGGTCGGAACAGGGTCTTTCTGAGTGGAGTTTACATGTTCTCCCCGTGTCTGCATAAGCTTCCTCCGGGTGCTCCCGTTTCCCCTATCACAAAAAATATATACACAATAGGTATGATTGTAATGAGTGAGTAGACTGATGGTGTTGGTTGGAGGCTTTAATGCGCCAGTTTGTTCAGCGTCTAGCTTCTGTCATCACCGTGTGAGAATGGAAAATATCTGATTTTTGAACATTGTAAAGTGCTTTGGGTAACCTTGGTCCGTTAAATAATATTACAAATAATATTATAATATATATTTTAATATAAATAAACATTACTCACTTACTTACTACTAATAATAATGATAATAATAATAATAACCACAGATCTAATGAAAATTAGTCACTACAGCAGGTCAAGTAATGCAACAGTAATTGCCATTATACAGACTGACTTTTGCGGCAATTTGTTTCAATAAAATTGTCTTCAACTGTGAAAGGAGAGTTAGTCTGTATTTATACCCCTATAATGTGAGTGATCATTCAAATCTCTTCAATGTATTACAACTGCACTGTCCTAGGACATAAGTGGTGATCATCTTTGACTGTATCTCTGAATCCACCATAAACAGTATGAAGTCAAAAAACAAATGTTGACCTTTTGAACAGGATAATTCAAGGTTTACTTTGTCCTCATGACTCATAGCAGGATAACACATTCTTTCAGGATAGATGCAATGAAGTGTGTAAGGAAGGCCACACCTGAACATTTTCAGGAAACTGCTAACGCTATCTCTCTGGCAGTTGGGCCGAGAACCATTAAAGCAACCGGTTTTACAGCCTATTTCAGAAATCTCTTAAAATAGACTTTCATCTCACCTCTTACAGGATCCATAATCAAAGAAAAATATGTGGATATCCATTATTTTTTACACATCTGTTAAAATTGAATACTATAATGTAATTGACACAACACAATACCTACAAGATCAAATCAAAACAATTATGAGTACATATGATTTACACACAAAAAATCAATTGCATCATCATCAATATACATACCTGATCTAGTTCAATTTCCATGTCTTAGGAAACACACCACTGAATAAAAAAAGTCTTAAACCTACTCAGTCAAACAACTTCAGGCTTGAATGAATGTCGAGCTTCCCATGCCTCAGCCATTACCAGATGAGTCCACCTGCGTGTCCTGTTCCCACGGATGGACAGTGCTCAGTGACATTCACCTGCCATAGACCTTAAATACAAGCCTATGCCACAAAGCACACTCCCTCCTCACTGTATCCTCCCCTGTACGGTAAGCCTGACTGTCACTTCCCAGTAAAAAGGAAACTGTGGGAGTGAAGTGCACGCCCCCTCACCATGAATCAACACATAATACTTTCGGAGGAAAATCATCTGAGTTTGGCCCAGCCCTCTTGTTCCCATAAAGTAAGCAGAGGAAAGCATGCGTCTGCAAGAGGAACCAGGAATTCCCCCACTGGAACAGCTGTTGTGATGATGTGACCATGACAAAATTAAATCTGAAATTGTGTCAGTATTTGGATGTTTAGACACAATATACTGTATATAATGCTAATGTTTTTAAAAAATATTTTAAAATGATTGAATACTGCTGTTTTCTTTTCTTATGTAAATTTCATTTTGTAAATGTAAGAATGTACATGGAAAGAATAATTTACAGAATTTTAAGGATGGCTAAGGCCAGGCTAATTCAGAATTATTAATTGAAAAAATATAAGTTGGGGAGGCGCATGAGCATTTTACCCCTATTAGAACAAAAAAATAACACACAGTATATATGTGTGTGGTATTACTGTACATCAGGGCAATTGAAACAAAAGTGTGTGTGTGTACGTGTACATGTGTGGTATTATCGTATTTCAGAACAGATAGCATTTACATACACTATGGTGTGATGGACAATGTTGGGGAGTACTGCTTAATTCCTGAATGGAAATATTTTGTTACAGATTTGGTAACCACAATATGCACACCACAATGTTTTTTGTTTTTTTTTCACCATCAACTGGTTTGAATTTCAAACATGTTGATATGTTTGACATCACAGCAAGAGAAGTCAATGTATTAGACAGCTATTGTTCACTTATCTTGTGCTGTGTGCTCCTCTTTCCTACTGTTCTATAACTTGTGATGCAACACTGACATTTCCCCACTGTGGGATGAATAAAAGATCTCTTAATCTTACTTATTCTGTAATTCCCCAACACTGGTGATGGATCATCGTTAACTGTCATATTATTTCCCCTTCTTTGTTTGTCATTTCAAATGCGAGAAACCCCTGCCTAAAAGTTCCTCAGAAAATCCATTTGGCTTATTACAATAGATGTTTTCAATGCTTCCTGGTTACTTTCCTTTCATTAGAGCTGAGAGACAACGCCTTCCGGTAAAACCAGCACACATTATTTATAAAATAAGTGCTAGAGACCCCATACAGTCCAACTATTGATGTGCAGTGACACCAGGGTCCACTTTCAAACTACATCCTCGGGCTAGTGGGATAAGTTGCAATTGACATTTTGAGCCGGACTTCAGAAACAGGCCAGGCTTTCATGCTGCTGTTTGAACACTGGGGAAATCACTAGCAAAGGTCATTGAGCCCATTTCCTTTCTTTCCTCCTGATGAATCTAAAGACCTGTAAAAGCTTCATTAAACCACACTACAGTTACTAGCAGATAGTGAAAACCAGTTAACATCCACTGTATATTCAGTGTTGTTTGATTAATTTAAGCTGCATCGTCTGATATACTTTTTACTTTGTAGAACAAAATATAGATAGCAGTAAGCCACAAGATTACCTCTCAATTTTGAGACATTGCGCATGCGAGTAAAAAAAACATCTGGTTCTTTATATTAACTGTCTTACAATCTTTATGATTGTAAGACAGTTTATTTTATTGCATTTTTCAAAACTCAACGCAGCAGAGCAAGGCTCACTTATTAATCATGAACTTTAGTACTACAATATGACGCTGAAGTCCTTCCTCTTCATCCCAAACATGATTCACAGAAAACACTCCTCTTTCTTCAACAAACTGTTCAAAAAGATTAAGTCCACCTCCAACTCCAAAATAGTGGGACTTGGTAGCAAGGTAAACCAGTCCTGTAGGGGCCAGTAGCTTATGTAAGGTCTCATGTAAGGAAGGATAGTTTGCTGTATTATAAATAGTCTCTGATGTTAAAATAATGTCATATTTTGGAGATGGGGTTTCTTTCATAAGTAAAGCAAGATGCAAGCTCCAGTCACCAGAGAAAAATCTACATTTTGCTAAAATTGTGTGCAGAGTTTTGTCTATTGCTTGCTTCTTTTGTGGTGGTTCGCCATCTTGTGAGTCTTTCTTATCATCGTTGGATTTTTTCAGCATGTTTCCCTTTCCTTCATAGTCTTCTTCGCTGTCTGTCTCATCTTCTGTGCAGTTAAGTATTACAGTCGGCACAGTAAGCTGCTCAATAACAGTACTGTTGTAATCTTGGAAGTGCACCTGATTGGCTCCTCTCTTCAGTGCCAAAATCCCCAAAAGGCCAGCGCCACATCCTAGGTCCAGAACCCTCTTTCCCCCAAATGGCTCTATGTCTTTCTCAAACAGCTTTAACAGATCATAAGTACACTCCCAAATCTTCAGTCCCCCTTCGTAGATGCCAGAGATGAGGTCAGACTTCTGTTTGATAGTGTGGGACAAGATCTCCTCCTCATCATCTCTCTCTGAAGCAGTCTTCTCAAACACGGTTTCATTCAGGAAGTACAGTGGAGGAAGAGTCCCAATGTGAACAGTTTCTGGAACAGCATCGATTAGGAGGAGATGTGGCTCTTTTGGAAGTGGGTGCTCAATGGCAACTTTCATGTGCTCGCCTGGATTGCCCTTCTCTTCATCCTGAAAAACAGTTACAACGTTTACATCATGATCAGCAGACACTTTGTTGCAGATCCATAATTGCAAAATAATATGGCCAAACAAAAGAGAAAAAGAAGCTGAATTTTATTACAAGAAAACGAGTTATTACAGCCAAAAAACACCAAAGTGTAAATATCATTATGCCTTGTTACATTGTTGTTATATTCTGAAAGCTACTCACATGTTTGGCCAACTTATTTTTCTCGTGATCTTGGAAGATGTTACTATCGTTTGAAACGGTATTTTGGGACTCCACATCAAAGTTGAAGCAGAACGACATTATTTCACTTCGCGGTAACAAATCTTTTCTAAGCCATACACCTAAATCTTAGAATGCACCATAAGATCGATGTATTTTACTGATAGCTCCACAAAACACCACATGGCAAAAACCTTCTTCGCTTGATTTCCCCAAAGAAACCTCTAATAAGAAGTATTGCTGCCACCTACTGTTTACTATTAACGTTAACTCTATTCTAAATATTACTTCATCGTAATAATGATACCAAAAATAACGACAAAACAATAACATTATTCGTCTTGTAAAAAAACACAAGTTAGTAAAAGAAAGAAAAAAAGACGTATAAAGCCTCTTTCTTTCTGGACTCAAATACCCATAGTGCATTTCGCCGCTCTGAGACGCATGCGCACTCACTCGTGAAATGATACAAATCTGTAGCTGTTGTGTTGTCAAAGGCATAATCATGTTCGTCTGTGCTAAACGGCTTTCTTCCATATCGTGACTACCAACAGGCAGATGGGGGAATAGAACATCTACGCGTGCTCTTAGTATCCGTAAGTTTTTGTTTATGAAGCTTCGAATAAATTTCATTAATGCACTTGGGTTTTTTAATGTCTGTCTACGGTCTATGGACGGAATCAGACTGCAGCACAAAAGAGATTTGTAGCACTGGGAGTCCTAGTGCCATTCTTTCACCGTTTTGTATTTTATTATCGCGTTTTTTCTTTATTTGGATTTTGTCTCTTTTAACAATGTTCAATTTACATTATGGCCATTTGCACCCACCTCACTGTCACATCACCAGTTACCTGCACCCAACAGCCCCACCCAGCCTGCACCCAGCCTGCACCCAGCCTGCACCCAGCCTGCACCCACCTAGGAATCTGGTCAAGCAGGACTAGCTCTTTTGGCATGAGGCTGACCAGTCTAGACACATAAGTCCACACCTGTCATCAATTGATTATTGTTTTTGTTACTCTTTTGTTCAAGATTAAAGGTAATTTGTATTGGCAGCAGGCAGTGGTGAGTTTACAATACATTTGTAACTAAACTAAAAACAACACACCAAACATCCTTACCTACATTAGATGGCCACAAAAGTTGTTGTTTTAGTTTGATATGGATTGTGAGTCATAGATGTCGTGGATAAAATAAACATTATTTTACTTTTAAAAACATGTTTCTTACTGAGAAGATGAACTATCCAGTCAGTCTGAAATAAGATGTGTGGAAGTCTAATTAAAAGTCCTGTATTTACATATTTACAAGCAGTTATTCATATTGAAGTCTTTGTTTTACAGGTGTGGTTTGCACAGATGCAGAATGCGGTGGTGTCCTAGCCCTCTTCTTCACCTGGTGCGTTGTATGCTTTTACGATCATGCGCCAAGAAAGGAAGGATCCGACTCCCTCTCTGCTTAAGGGAAAGATGGGCCTATGTCAAACTTTTAATTCGATCACTTTATTTCAATTCCCTCACTGACTCAGATGTGGTTTTTGACTGTGTGTTTGAACCAGTGTTCTGGTCTGTGGATTACATAACTCGTTGGTTTGGTCTGGTAAGATGTATTTTTATAGAAACTATACGTGCCACTATGAAAATGATGTTATGTTGAATGTTAATCTTTTTTTGTCTTTCACATTGAAGGTGTTTGTTTGTCTGGTTGTTATCTTAACCAGTGCTATTGTGGTAATCGCCTATGCTGTCATGCTGCCAATGATTCTTAATAATTACTCCATTGGCTGGATTCTGTGGCATATATGTTATGGCAACTGGAATCTTGTAATGATAGCGTTTCATTATTACAAAGCTACAAAAACCTCTCCTGGACACCCCCCTACTGTAAGCCCTGATCTTAGTTTTTATTGTGTCCATTATTTCATGAGAATCAATTAACTAACATCCAAATATTCAAGGTCAAGAGTGACATTCGATTTGTATCTGTATGCAAAAAATGTATTATACCCAAACCAGCGAGAACGCACCACTGCGGTATTTGTAACCGGTATGGTTTGTTCTTATGGATTTTTTTTCTTGCTCTTTGCTCTTTTACCACAACAGTTTAACATTGCTTCATTTTCCAATAGGTGCATTTTAAAGATGGACCACCACTGCCGTATCCTTTTTAAGTGTCTACATTATCTTGCATTGCAGGCCGGTTTATGAGACTGGTTAAACAGTGCTACCATTTGACATTTTGGTATAATATGATGGCACCATCATACATTTTGGTATAACTTTACTGTATAAGCTGTTCCTTAACATATGTTCCTCAGCTTGGCTTAATAACTGTGTGGGCCATTTTAATCATAGATATTTCTTTTCCTTCTGCCTCTTCATGACCTTGGGTTGTGCATATTGCAGTATTAGTGGGAGAAACCTGTTTTTAGATGCCTACAATACTCTTGAGGTAAGAAGGTTATATTCAGACACTGATCTGTGTCTCAAAATGTGTCAGTGCTCTTGAAGTTGCCTGAGCAGCCAGCTCCTTCTGCATTTTAAATGTTTTTGTTTCAAATTAAATATTTATTTATTTATTTAATTAAAATAACATGTAATTAATGTAAAAGCATGTGGTTCTGGCTGGTCAGGCAAGAAGTCTGGTCATTTCCCTCATCCTCTCTTTACACTTGGGCCTGTGGACCTTTCTTTTAGCGCATTAAGCATTTGGATATGGAAAAACCAGGGGTTCCTGTGACTGGGATTGGTGCTCTAATCGGGCTTTTACCTTCAGGGCAGGTATGCATGATAAAATATGCTTATTAATTTGTTACTAATACTGTTAACTACACTTGCTGGCATAATCAAGTTTAAACTTGTCCCTTTGTCCTTCAGACAAAGTATCAGACCCCGGCTCCTTCATACACCTTTATGGATAAGATGTTTAATAAGTGTGTCATCTTCATGTGGGTTCTCACCAGGTATTTAAGATTAATGTCTACAGTTAGTATCCTGCCAATTGGTCTAAAGTTATTTGTTTTGTGTGTTTTTTTTTTCCAGCACTGTAGGTGTAACTCTGGGTGCGCTAACATGTTGGCATGCAGTGTTGATATCCAGAGGTGAAACCAGCATTGAGAAACATATCAATAGTAAAGAGCGCGAACGACACGCTCAACGTGGCCAAGTGAGTTGCTGTCCTTTTTGTCAGCAGTGTATTTTTCTGTTCATCATAAGAAAGATTAGCTATTGGTTTAAGACTCATAAATAGCAATATAAATGTACTAATAAATTGCCTCATGTTCTAATGTTGATCTTTTAAAGATTAAGGTGAATAAAAGTGAGCAAAAAGCCTAGATTGAACTCTTGTGTGGAGCAAGTCCATTGTGTTGGCGTGTTACTGGCTCATCGCCACTGAAAGAGAAAAGGGATTCTGAAATATCAGTCTGTTCATTAAAAATAAAAAGTACAATTACATTTTATGTACAAACTAGAAGAAAATGATTTGAAATTGCACAAAAAAGTTCCTATATTAAATTGACAAACAAATCCCACAGCCGAGTTTCTGTTTTGAATTTAGCGTGTACCTGGAATACTAATTTTGAGTAACCTTTATTCATAATACAGTTACTTTACAGAATGTTACTTTTTTGCTTATTTGCATCTTATAGTGAAAGTCCTGAATGGTCTCTGGAAGTTTGGTACATGTCTGATTTGGTAATCAGGAACAGTTTTCCTGAAAACATGAAACTGCTTGAGGCGTACTCACTAATATTCTCATATTTGTATTGTTTTTTATTGTGTCAGTTAAAATTTTCTGTCATATGTATTTTAAATAAATGTTTTGTTTCCAATGAAAAGATAACTCACAAATGCATTTAAAATTACTTGATAACTTGAATGCATGTTTTGGATTTTTTGTGTACACTACAAATACTGACTCACCGACTGACTTTCAGATTTACCGAAATCCCTTCAATTATGGAAGGCTAAATAACTGGAAAATATTCCTTGGAGTGGAGAGGAAAAGGTATGGGTTATTTTGTTCATGTTCATATTGTAGAAATAATAAATATATTTCTTTTGTCTTTAGTCACTGGCTGACGCGCGTTTTACTTCCCTCTGAACACTATCCTTACAGTGATGGTTTAACTTGGGAAATCTACACCTGCAAAAAGGATTTAATTCCTGTATGACCACTAATATATCACTTTTTAATTTTGCCTTCTCTGGTTTTTCTATGAAACAGGCTTTATATGGCTAATGGTTTAGAATACCTCATCTATGCTAATGGTTTACTGATAATGGTCTACATTTTCAATACAAACACCGTTTTTGATAGTGCTCTTTCTAGTTTGCTAACTGGTTTTAAAAAAGCCATGAGAACTGACTGACATATCATTTCCCACTTATTTTTTTGCTCCCTACAACACAGCGCAATTATTTTTATATCAGAGAGTCGACATGTAAAAGTCTCTCTTATGCCATAGCTTCCCAATAATTACATGCATAACAAACTTGTTGCATTACAAATTGTATTGAGTATTTGCATTGCTGTGTTAATTTAAATAAACCTTTGTATTTGTTTTGTTATTCTGAGTGTATATGCATGTTTATTTGATCAGTCTGTTATCAGAAAAACCCTTTCATTGCGTCACAGATCCAGAAGAGGATTAACTGATGCGTAACACACTTGATCTGCAGCATTTTCTGTCTATTACATCATAGTTTGTGCATCAAATTCTTTCTGGAAGGTTGGGTTAAATTATTAATTTACAGTGGTAATGGTTTAGTTTGGGATATTCTCATTCACTTAATTTTCCAATATATATTGTCATTATCAAATTCTAATGGACAATATTAGAATATTTGAAAACTCAAAGGTGAAAGCCTGATAGAATTAGTTTACATAAATAACAGTATAGATTACAGTCCATGTTTTTTCCAGTACAGCTGTAAATGTAATTGGGTGAATCTGAATTTTAAACCTTGAGATTTGATTAATATTTACAGTCAATAGATTTGACAAACGACACCCTACTCACCCTGAGTTTGCATTTCGCGCATGCGCACTATGGTATGATAAGGCTTTATTTCAGGAGCAGTGGAAAGAACGTGAGCGCTCGTGTTGGGGACACAGACGGGGACCATCCTCATTCTTTATTTTCGGGGAACACAAACTCTAGACCCTCTTCTAAAATGTGCTGGATGAACAAATATTTTTGAACCGCTGAGGTTGAACAGGCTGCGTGCGTCTTATGTTAGAGTTTGTTTTGCTGACTTGCGTTTTACAGCCGTCACTTCTGTATCACTTAAAGCGTCTTTAAAGTTTGGATGTGGCAAGCAAACTGCAGACGGATGCACAATCTAGCAGACTGGATCTCCGGTAAGAAGGATCAGATTCTTCATATTGGATTTATTGACAAATAAGACGAACAAGGCCTGTGTAAGGAACATTTTGGCAGCTTGTGTCTGATTTATTCACCCGTAGGTCTAAATATTTGGACAAATGCTAGATTAGGCACGTGTGTCCTGCATGTCGGAGTCAGCTGGCCCTACACGTGACGTAAACATGGGCTCGTCTGACCTCGAGTGCTGAGCTGTCATTTCCCCATGCTTCTTTAAGAGTCTTTTTACTTTACATGTAGTAGGCTCTATACTACTGTCTGTGCTCTATACAGGTTATTCATGCCATGTACCATCGCCTTTACCCTTCAACCACGTGTTCCTTATGTGCAGGGTCAGTCATGGGAGGCTGCGTGGGCAGGAGCAGGACAGATGGACATGGGAGTGTCCGCATCTCCTCTCGGAGTAAAAAACGTGGAGGTAATGTTATCTCGATGCTTGTAAGGAGGGATTGGGTATTTTTGAATGTTTGGGCTCCAGATAAGATGAGATAAACTTTATTGATCTCACAATGGATACATTTATCGCTGGATAAGATTAAACGACATTGGAGATACATAACAATTTCTCGTTAAATAGATATGATAGTTGATGAATCAAAATTAAAAAATAACATAAACAAGTATAAACATGTATAAACAAGTATAAACATGCTGTGCATTATTATGTCATTATATATATAATATATGAGAACATTACAACATTCTTGCCATGTAGTTTCAAACAGACTGTATGTTAATAGGTTTAGCTTGTTGTTTCTGGGTATTTGTCCTGTCACTAAATACGGATCATAGGATTACATTACAGAGCTGTTGCCAAGCTCTGTGGGAGATGCTCAGGTTAACTGCACATACCTGCACTGGTTATTGAAGTGCTCTTTCCATGAATTGACCGAGAGATATTTATGGCTGTTTGGAGGATCTAAGTCTTTTTAACCTCGTGAAGGAAATGTCACAGTTTCAGTGCAGTTGGATTTAATACAGTAGATGTAATTTGAATCCTATTTTTCTAAAACGATCAGCTGCAATGGGAGTGCCTAATTCCCGGGAATACACTTACTACCATGCTCCGCATTCACCAATAAAGATTTTTCTAAAACGTAAGTATGTTTTTAGAAAATTGTATCTTACAGTCGTCAATCAGGCTATAACAGAATGATGTTCTGCGCACAAATGTATGTTTATTTTTTTCTTTTAGTCATGCTTGTAGCTAATTTCAGGTGTCATAAAACTGTATTTATTTTCTTAGAAAAACAACAGTGTCAAAGTAAAAAGAGGAATGTAAATAGGAAAAAAGAACAGTAGATGTTGTGGTGTCAGTTGAATATATTCACGAGTATTTCCTCAGTATTTCTCTTCTGCAGGAGATACTATGGTGACCAAACAGTTTTATCCTGGGAGCTGAGTCTATCAAATATCTAACATTTTGGCCGCTGAACACTGACAAGGCAATGTATGAGTGCTTTGTTTGATTTGACCAGGGGTGCCCAAACCTTATGTTCAGAGTGCCATTTTAGTTCATCAGATGTGTTCAGGGGCTGACTACCCATATTTCAAAACTCTTAGACTAGAATAGGGCTGCCCTGAGCTCTAAAATGGGGTATGACATTTCCATATTATTCACATTTGCCAGAACTGAAGATAACAAGTTTACTATCCCACAAATGCATCAGTCATTTAGATGCAAATGTCTTGACACAATTTAAAACAAAGTATGAGGGGCTGGTGCTTAGTTTACTGGGTGCAGCTCTGACTGTCACCCCTCAACCCAGAAATGGATTAAGAGGAATACATTGGATGGATGGATGGAAAAACTAAGTAGAATATATACAATATAAAAAGTTTCTGAGCTTGTTTAGCCTGCCTATAATAGAGAGACTAGACTCTTCTGCAAAAGGTTTGTTTTAGATGATTATTTAAACAAATTGAATTCATGCAGTGTTGGCACTTTGAATAATCAACTGGCTATTTAGACAAAATATTGAACTTTAGTGGTTGATTTTTTTATAACCAATTAAAATGACCGTTTTATACTAGAAGTAGATGGTTGGTTTTGTCTCCGTATTTGCAATCATGTTCATTTTATTACACTTCTTTCATTGGCTCATGTGAGTGCCTGGTGCCTTGTGGGATGGAGACAGATGAATCCTGTTATGTGGAACCTGATTAGTGCCGTAATCCACCAGTGTGTGTCCATGTACTGCACACCACCACATGCATCTGCGCCTGTCCTTTTGGATAATCCATTGGACTATAAATAATCACACTATTCTTGATTTACCTTGAAACCAATTGTTTTCTTGCTAAAACAAATAATAATAATGACATAACATTTTTTATCTGATTTGAAGTTCAAAAAGCCTTCCAGAAATTATAAATACTGTTTTGATAATAATAATACTGAATTGTTGCTATATGTTTCAGGACGCAATGAGCCCCTGAAGAAGGAGCACCCAAAGTGGAAAAGTGATTACCCAATGACTGAAGGCCAGCTCAGAAGTAAAAGAGACGAATTTTGGGACACAGCTCCAGCCTTCGATGGCCGTAAAGAGATCTGGGATGCTCTGCGAGCAGCAGCGTTAGCGGCTGAATGCAACGACCTAGAATTAGCTCAAGCAATAGTTGATGGAGCCTGCATCACTCTGCCTCACGGTATGTAGCCACTACACCATGTAGGAGGAAAGCAGTAAGCGTAAATGACGTCAGCGGACAATTGCATCATTTTGACAGCATCAGTGCCTAGTCTGCCAAATTCCATGCGAGAGAGATTACCTCTGTACTAGTTACGTAAGAGCAATGCTACATGACCAGTGTGAATCCAAAAGTACGCTTAAAACATAGCTCTGTGCAGAGGTTGGGGATGCAATAAAAAACAACTGTTCTCATTCATCAAACGTTGTATTGATCCAAATGTGGCTTAAAAATTATGTATGACTACACTGAAGTATTGATTATTGCTCTCTTCACAGGCTCGCTCACTGAGAGCTATGATGAATTAGGAAACCGCTACCAGCTCCCGGCCTACACTCTGGGCCCGCCTGTCAACCTCATCTCTGAAACGACTACTGACAGTAAAGTACCAGACAACACTCAAAAACAGGCACAGACCCTTGCATCCCGGCAGGAATTTCAACTACGAGTGCGCTTGTCATCTGGTACGTTTTAAAATCTGCCTATTTACTTTGATCCACTCTGAACTGCATTGATTTACTTACTTACAGGGAAAGATGTGCGTCTGACTGCCAGTCTGGCTGACACTATTGCAGAACTGAAGAAGCTGCTGCAGGAGCATGAGGACATAGACATTTCCTGCCAGAGGTGGTTCTTCTCTGGGAAACTACTGACCGATAAGACTCGATTGCAAGATGCCAAGATCCAAAAGGACTTTGTTGTCCAAGTCATTGTCAATACAAACACATCTGATATTATACCTAAGTGACTGATAATCCCAAACTGAAGACAACAAAAGGGAAGAACAGTCACAAGGATCAGATGGAATTCAGATGGATAATTAAGTATTTTTTATATACATAAATTTTACTTTTTTATTGCTCCTTTTTGTATTTAACCTTCTTTAAAAATATATATAACAACAATAATAAGCACTTTATCACTTTAGATTACAAAACTAGAATACAATGCACATACATACCACAATCGCCTGCTTGTCACTCCATGTGGACTTATACAATTCTTTCCTCATTGTTTACATGCCTCCTTTATGTGGTGTTTTTGTAGAGTGACATTCTCGTCGTTATTGGTAAGTTCCAATGTTTTGTAATGTGCACTATATATTTTGCCTATTTAATCCAAAAGGGCAATTTTAAACAGACTAAGTTTTTTTAAATGCTGTTAAAATGTCACCAATAAAATGTTAAAATTGAGTAAAGGATTTCTCGGTTTGTGTAATGGATAACAATTGCCCACTGTATTAAAGTGCAGTTCTACATGGAACTCTTTAAATTCATGTATTTTGCCCCTTCACACAATTTTAAATGAGAAGAAAATTCAACAAAATGTGAATATTTCCATCTATGTCGAAAATATTACAATTTTAGTGAGTCCCCTGACATAGATAGCGGATATTTTAAACATTGTTTTAAGGCTGGGTACTCGGGTCCGACTGGTGCACTGGTCTTACCCGGACCAGGCCGGAGCTGGAGGTGTGGACCTATAAATAAATTTGATCCTGAGAAATCCTGATTATTTATGATCTAATTGACTGCCATGGGGAATACACAAATGTGTTTGTTTTGCGTTCAGACTACTGTTAAATCGAAGCAGATAAATCAATGTTGTACATATAAAGTGTCACCAAAAGATTCCTAGTTTCACTTGAAATGACCAGCCCCAGCTTTGTTCTCTACTGGGGTGAACCATAGACCTATAACTATAATAAATCAAACAAACCCATTTTGAACAGAATATGAACAAAATGTATCAGGTGCTAACACAGGTACTAAACAGGTTCCTACAGTGGACCTTTGAACCATAGATAGAACCGTAAAGTACTCTTATCTTAAGTAAACAGCGCCCTCACGTGGAATGCTACCCCCAATGGGTCCAATCGGCCACGTGACCTCTACGTCATTCTCTGAGCGACACGACCATCTGGAGTTGTGTGAATGTGAATTAGCCATAAACATGGTTAAATCGGGAAAACTTCGGTCCGGAACTGGATCGAAACTCAAACGATGGAAGAAAGGACACAGCAGTGACTCCAACCCGCAGACGAGCAGGTTTAGACAAGCCGCAAAAAGTCGTTTCTTCAGCAGTCCCTCTGGTGAGCACACACGTGGGTCCCGAGCTAAACACCATAGCTCCCTCCTCATCTAGTCAAACTGATCAAACTGCTTTAGTCTATGTGCTTCACTGACAGCAGCCCAGCTCAACGCAATTGACATCATTTTTATGTTGTTGTTTTGCATAGTTGCTGTGTTCGTTGGTGACATATCTTTCTCTCTCCACACATGTAAACAAATATGTCCATTTCTGTTTATATCATACATGTAACTGTGGCTTCGTCCTCTCTCAATGAACAGTTCTATTCGAGTGTAAACCATGTTGTGTAGTAAAGCTCTACAGAAGTGGTCACTTTTGTATCTGTAATTTGGGAAATGGTTTATTTCATTCAATATTTCCAGTCAAAGTATCTTGTTTGTTTCTTAGAAGTACAACAGGCTAGTACGTTGGAAAGTTGGAAATGGGTTTAATGGGGTTGTATTACATAGTTTATGATTTGTGGTTTCAAAAGTACTTTAGCTGTGATATCTGTGCATAGTTTGCACAGAGGACCCCTGTTATATCTGCATTACTGCTAAACACAATTATCTGAAGAACTGAACACCTCTGTTCTGACTACCCACAATATCTATATCTTTGGCATGACTCGGGAGTCTTTTTTTATCTCAAGTGATGTTCTTATGCACATTGGCACAAATCATATAAAAAGCTTCCTTTTCATCGATCTGAAGGGACTCAAAATCCCATGGTCTATTCCACTCATAGACCATAAAAGATGAGATATCAGACTTTTTTGATCTCACAATGGTGATATTTACAGAAGTTCTATAGTTTAATCTTACCTAAGAGGAAGAAGAAGAAATCCCGTCTTAACTCCTTGTAAACTACCCACACCCTTTTTGTTTAAAAAAAAGTTGATATCTGGTGGGAAATGGTTGAAGACTGGAATTTTTTTATCAATATGAAAGCTGGGGTACCCAACTCGTTCATAAACAACACACTCTCAATAGAAAGAGTCTTGTAAAATGAAAAGGACCAATCAGAACACTACATACTGTCTTCATCTTTTGTTGTGTGTGGAAATTCAATTATTGCCATTTTCCTCTCGGTAGGGAAGAGCGATCTGACTGTTGATGCTCTGAAGCTCCACAATGAGCTGCAGACAGGTCCACTGGAGGTCAAGGAGCGCAGAGATGCCTACAGTATGGAGGAGGAGCCAGAGGAGGGGCTGTCAGACCGCACTTCTGGCACTTTTCTCAGTGGTTTGTCCGATTGCTCAAACCTTACGTTTAGAAAAGTGCAGCGCTACTGGGAGTCCAACTCTGCGGCCCACAAAGAGGTGCCCCTTGATTGCATTGACGTCGTGTCTGATTATTTATCCCTCTGGGATCCCTCATCTTGTTACTCGTTATAGATCTGTGCAGTGTTGGCTGCAGTTACTGAAGTGATTCGTTCTCAAGGTGGAAAAGAGACAGAAACTGAGTATTTTGCAGCTTTGGTAAGTACGTCTTGAACCCCATTCCCGAAGGGTTCCACTTCTACTTCTGTTACCAGCTTTTTTGTTTTTTAGATGACCACTTTAGAAGTTGTTGATTCAGGGGAGTCCCAGGCAGCAGTCGCATATCTCCTTAACCTCGTCATGAAAAGGTTTTTTTATTTATCATTGTGTCTTAAATATAGAATAAATATTTTTTTTACAATTGCTTTTTGTTTTGCCTTAGAGTTCCTGCTCCTGTTCTAATATCAAAGTTCTCAGACACAAGCAAAGCGTTAATGGATATCATGACTAAACAGGCCACAAGTGACTCAGCATCAGCACTTCGATGGGTAGGAATATTTTATTTGGAAAAATGTTTCTATTGAAAATGCTTTGACTTTCATATATACTTATCCATGTGAAGATTCTGTCGTGTCTGGCCACCCTGTTGAGGAAGCAGGAGGTTTCGGTTTGGACGTACTCATCTACTCTTCAGATTTATCACGGTCTTCTTAGTTTTACAGTTCACAGCAAGCCCAAGGTACAGTTGTTATGGTTTTGGCTCATGAACCCAGAGAGTACATTTGTATTTTTAAACATATTTAAGTCAATTCACTCCAGTGTGGGCCAGTTTGAACTGCCAGTTTCAATCTGTGCTCCTGCTGTTTCAGGTGCGTAAGGCAGCACAGCAAGGCGTGTGCTCGATCCTCAGAGGAAGTGACTTCCTGTTTAAAGATGATGCCCCTACTCATCATCCTGTTGCCATGACAACGGCTAAATTCTGTATAAAAGAAATGGAGCAGGCTGGAGGTACACACACACTGATTATTACATATATTACTATAAATTCAAAAGATATTTATGTTTGATGTAAGAATATATTCATTGATAAGTTTGTTTTTGTTTTCGGCAGGAAGCAAAGAAGACACCACAACACTTCACGTCCTAGGCCTTCTGAAAGAATTGATCGGGACGTTTCCTCTTGGAGCGGTTAAATCTTGTTGTGAAACACTTTTGCGAGTGATGACGCTCAGTCATGTGGTGAGAGAATCTATAGCAGTGGTTCTCAACTGGTGGGTCATGGGATCGTTTTTAGGGGGTCACAAGCCTTTCCTTTTGTTGTCAAATTAAATTATTTATTTACAAAATGTAGTTCTCGCACCTTGGTTTTGTATGATTTTGCGTCCCAAGTCCGGCGCTGTCCCAGTTGAGAACCAACGCACTATAGTGCAGGATTATGATGCACCTTCCCTATTCTGTTAACTAACCCAATGTGTGTTTCCGTCTATAACAGATGGTGACTGCGAGTGCCATGCAAGCCTTTCATAAACTCTTTAGCAGCAAACCAAAGGCTGATACACTGTCCCCTGAACTGAATGCACAGATCATCACGGTATGTATCATGTCATCAATGGTTTTCAAAAACAATTTCAGAACTAAAGCACATTATTTTCTCAGGCTCTCTATGATTACTTGCCCAGTGAGAATGATCTGCAGCCACTTTTAGCCTGGCTCGCGGTGATGGAGAAAGCCCATGTGCATCTGTCAAGGTATAAACACGACTTGGCCATTAAACTTCATCTTCTTGTTTAAACTTAATTTCCTAAAGGATTTCTGTTGTTTAAAATTAGTTCAGTTTAGAGCTGTAAAAATCCCTAATTGAGTTTTTCCATGAATCAATAACTATAACTAAAATATGTTATTTTGAGATTTAAACAGAGCTAAAAAAAATAAAATCTGAGATTGTGTAAGTGTCATGATTTTGCTGCTGAGTCTGTTGAAAAAACAATACTGTGGTCCCTCACTATAACAAGGTTCACCATCGCTCGCTGTTTCGCAGATTTTTGTGTGCAATCTGGTGTGGTTATTTACAGCGTGCTTGTTATGCGCTGTGTGTATACTCCAACAACATAACGCTACATACGACTGTTACAGTCGGTGGTTTCTCTTCAGCTTTTATATGGATCTAGCTCAGACAAAATATCACATTTGTGTTAAAACAGTTAAGATTAATCAAGAGATTTTATTTTATCGTAATTAATGTTAATTCCAGACCATTTCTAGAACCAAACTGGGCCAAAGGTAAAGTGGTGGTGGTGTTGTAGACTGATTTTGACGCATAGTTGTATTGTATTATTATTTGTGAACTTAATTCTAAACCTTGATTATTATTGTAGTTTGCAGAGTTCATTAGGTTTGGGACACCTCCCTCGGCTCTTTTCTGCTGCGGTGTCCTGCCTGTTGTCTCCTCACACACAAGTGGTTTCTGCGGCTACTGGCACGCTTAAGGTAGGGTCTTATGTCCCATGTTTGATGTTTATTTTGCTGAACATAATCCATAATTTTACAGACACTGCTGACTGAGTGTGTTGCACCCCATATGGAAGGCATGGGCTTGATCACAACCCAAGCTTCAACTGGAAATTCCTCGTACATCTGCAAAATCTTCAAGTAGGTCTATTATCATGCTACCTACAGACTGTCTACTTTTGTCAGCTTCAGTTTACACACCAATCAATTGAATAAAAATTCTTGGAGGACTCGATGTCTATTTAAATTCTTTGATTCCCAAATAATTCACCAGTTAATCAACGAACATGATTAAAGTCAGTAATGGGAAGTGTGAAGTGTTTTCTCAAAGTTGTTTTAAAAGTTACAGCTGCATAATGCGTGAGAATGATGTATTTATGCATATTTTACTGTTTAGAATTGCAGAAGAAGGGCTCTCTTACCGCTTCCACGCATCATGGCCCTTTGTCCTCCAGATATTGGGCGGTTTTTACAAAGTTGCAGGACAAAAAGCTCACCCCATCATGATCAAGGTACAGTAAAACTAAGCTGATATAAAATATTTGTTACATGGATTTGTTTACCCTGACCTTACATACATGTGTTGTCCAGTCACTTCAGTCCCTGGCTGATCTACGCTGCACTCCTCACTTTTCCTTCCCTGGAGAGTTGGATTTGGCAGTGGGAGCAGCTGTAGAAGCCATGGGCCCTCAAGTCGTGTTGGGCGCTGTGCCACTGAACATTACTGGTCACGAGTGAGTGCAGACTTGTACATGTACTTGTTTTTTTAGTCACAATATATTAATTAACTTGTTTATTTTTTATTTTTTTATTTTTTTGCCAGTGATGATTTAGGGTTTCCACGTAGTTGGCTCATTCCAGTTATACGTGATCATGTGAAGAACACCCAACTTGGATTCTTTAATTCATATTTTCTTCCTCTGGCTTCAACACTCAAAAAGAGGGGTATTTATGGCAGTACAGTGCTGATAATGAATGAGGAATTTATTATTGTGACCTTGCATTTTTTTCTCACCATTTAGCCGAGGAGTTGGAACAAGCTGGGCAGAAACTTGAGTCCAAAGTTTACCAAACACTGCAGCTTCAGGTAGAGTCGTAACTGTCTCTGTTTCTGGTAGAAAGGTATTTGACAAACGTGTAAAACTGTCCCAGATTTGGACCATGCTTCCTGGTTTCTGCACTGGTTGTGTGGACCTCGTTGCATCCTTTAAAGGTATTGCCCGTACTCTTGGCTCAGCGGTCAACGAGCAGCCGGACCTGCGCCTGACGGTCTGCCAGGCTTTGCGCACCATTATCAACAAGAGCTGCAACACGGGTACAGACACACAGCAACAGGTTTTTGCCTCTTTTCTATCATTTTGCTTATAATTATTTTCATTCGTTTGCAGCTGAAGAAAAGGGAGAAGTGGGAAAGTTTGCCAAAAACTTTCTTCCAATTCTATTCAATGTGTACAGCCAGCAGCCGCCTGCGGGCGAGTGTGGCACCTATAGGATGGCTGTGCTCGATACCATCAAAGTCTATCTGACGGTCACTGACGAGCAGGTGTGTGGTTCAGAAGGCTCTTGGTCCTCCACTCTGCACTATGTATTTGTCTGAAATATCACTGACTGCTGTTCAAGACATGGGACTACCTGCATGTATGCCAAACAGGGCAGGCTTAGGGTTTGGTTAGTACTGTGATTGGTGCTACAGTGGTGCGGCCGGGGCTATAACGCACTAAAGTGTTGTGTCCTTAGGCAAGACACTGAGCACACATTGGCACAGATTAGTTTCTTTGATTCTGTCAGTTTGCAGCTGTGGCTACTGTAGTTTACCTACTGTGTCCAGAGTGAATGAGTAATGTGAAACGTCTGACTATCCTGAAAAGCACTTAATAAAACAATACTATGCTATTATTTATTTGTATGGATTAGGCCTTCTATTTGTAATCGGAAGATTTATATATATAATAGTTATTCATAATTTAAGATGATTTAGGAATATATATATCCTTATAAATTATGCCATTATCTCAATTTGTGGTGAAAATAAGGATTGAAAAAAAAAACGATTAACTTTTTCTTTGATCTGATTCCATCATTGCCCTTCTGTGTTTCTTAAAGTGTTTGGTGTTTTTTGTCTAATAATATTTTATTTGTGTTCTTTTTCTCCAGATGATCTGTACATTTTTGGCTAAAGCTATAGAGAGACTAAGCGGCACTGACAACACTGAGTTCACAAAGTACCTACTCTTCATGTTTCATTTATAACACTGCGTACTTATGCACTTTGCTGTCATTACTGTTACTTTCTCCACAGGCTTTCAATGATGGACCTCATTGTTGCCCTGGCACCCTTAGTAGATGAGGTCACAATGACTAAAACATTTGAATTTATAAAGCCATATTTAGAGGTAAAGGTTGTAGTCGGACTTGTTGACTTATGTTTATAATGGTTATCAATATTTTATTATTTTTCATCCAATGCAATCAGATGAAGGAGCCAGGGATGCAAAAAAAAGCTTATCGTGTGCTTGAGGAGTTGTGTGGCGGCGAGAGGGAAGAATGTAAATCATTTGTCGTTAAAAATCTGGAAGCGCTTAAAGTCAGCCTGCTTGAGACTTTAAAAAACGCATCTTCGCCATCAAAACGGGTCAGGCTGCTTGACACAACGAGATTTTATTTCGCTCTTCCTGTAACTTTCATTGTAATTTATTTATTGGTTTTCTCAGCCAAGACTCAAGTGTCTACTTCACATTGTAAAAAGGCTTGGAGAAGAGCACAAGGACTTTATCACCGCACTGTTGCCAGAGGTACTGGTGCATCTCATATGAGACGGAGAGATGGATATCACAAAATCTATTTGTTTCAGGTTATCATTTGTACAAAAGAGGTGTCTGTCGGAGCTCGTAAAAGTGCCTATAACCTTCTGGTGGAGATAGGAAATGCTTTTATGCGTTTCTGCAGCAGCCCAAATGGTAAATAGTGTACAAATGCAGTTATTTTGGGACTGGATCAAGTTAATAGTTTTGTGCTTTCTTCAGATGCCATGGATCAGTTCTTGTTGGTGGTCTATGTGGGACTCACCGGCTCCGTCACGATGATCACCTGTACAGTCCTGGCACTTACTCGACTGGTCTTTGAGTACAAAGGTAAAACAAAAAAATCTGTATTTTCTCCTTTCTGTATCAACCTTTTTCTCTGAAGCACCTCCAAAATTCAACTGATTCTGTCCCCACAAACCAATGTTCGTGTTCCCACTTGGAATTAGCGTAAAACGATTAAACTCCATGTCTGCCCTGTTTTTTAATCTTTCACATTTCCAGTATTTGGATGAATATATTTCATCAATTGGCTTTCAATAAATAAAACATTGAGTAAATCCAGTGGTTCCTGAACAGTCACATTGGTTTAGTCTCAACTCCAACTGTGTTTTGAGAGCTGTGTTTTCTTCCAGACTCCATCGAGGTTTGCACCATGGAGCAGCTCCTGCACAACATCTGCCTCCTGCTCACATCTCGCACAAGAGAGATTGTTAAAGCTGCACTTGGGTTCATTAAAGTCATTCTCTTTGTCATGGATTCAAAAACACTAGGATCACATGTTACGGTCATGGTATGTTTCTTTTCTGCACTTGTTTTGCAGAATCATAAGCAGTGATGTATAAAAACTAAACTTTTGTGTACTACCTGCTTAGATGGAGGGCATTGGGAACATTAAAGATGATGTAAGAAGGCACTTTAGGACCAAACTGAAGAACATCTTTACTAGATTCATCAGAAAGTTTGGGTGAGTAGTTGAATACCACTACTATTGACTCTGGACCAATTGCTTTGACATTTGAATAGATGTAATGATTTTCTGCAACGTAGGTTTGAACTGGTGAAGAGTATGCTTCCTGCAGAGCACCACAAAGTTCTAGCAAACATCAGAAAAGCTGAAGCTCGTAGTAAGAGGAAGAAGCAGGTGTCAGAAGAGCAGGACGACTCGGATGAGGAGGAAGATGTGTCCAAAAATAAGGGTCAAAGGTATTACAGCTGATTTAGTTAATGAATATAAGGAAAGAATGTTTGAGGAGACTAACAAATATGTGTTTGGAATTAGCATTGAAGACATCCTGGCAGAGTCCGACAGTGACATGTCTGAAGATGAAGCTAAACCTAAAAAAGGACAGAAAAAGGCAGGAAAACCTCAAGCTAAAGCCTGGCTAAAGGAAGGAGAAGAAGATGATCCACTGAACTTCCTGGATTCTAAAGTTTCCCAGAGAGTGCTAGGTGAACAAAAAACAGCCTTAAAATCCTTGCTCCTTTGCTCCAGTGTTTGTTTTATACGTGTTTCTAATGTTACAGCCACTAATCCGGAGCTGAAAAAGTCCAGTAAGAAAGAGCATGGCTTCAAGGTGACATCAGACGGCCGACTGATTATCAGAGACGAAGAGGACGGGGATCATAAAGAAAAAGGTGTGTCCATGTGATCATGTGCCTGAATCTTCTGTTTTTACCTCTTTGCATCATGTGTCAGATGGAGAAATCCAGGACGTTCTTGAAGAGGCTGGAGTGAAAAGTGTGAGTGTCCCAAACTTGTCGCATGATTTATCTTTTCATAATTATTGTGTCTTGATTTATTTATTATCTGTTCTAGAAAAAGGCACAGAAAAGAAGGTTTAAAGATGACGACTTTGATGAGGAAATGGACATTGATCCAGCGTTAAAATATAAAGGTAAGCGCCATGGTGCAATGTATATAATTTCTACTTGAAAAAATATGTATTCAGAATTTTTGAGCAGGTCTTATTTATAAAGACTATTTTGGTTTTTAAGGAGTTGTATCTATCCAATTTCAAATTGTCAAAATAAGTGGTCGTTTAGTGATCCTTGGCTGGAAAAAGCTCAAGAAACACAGATTTAGGAAACGTTTTTTTCAATCGGCTCAGAGGCCATGCAGCAGGATAAACAATAACGCAAACAATCAAATAAATAAACTATACGTAAATGTTTTTATTTATCGCACACTGAGAAGTCACATTGATTTGACTATTTACATACTGAAGTACATCTTACCTTCTTGAAGCGTAAAAGAAAAAAGCAATTGTTTTGCTGCGCCTCAACATGCACAATGTATAACATTAATATCCAATTAAACTATTCAGCCACAAATACTTTTACTCTTAACGTAATATTGATTAAGTATTTATTTGTGTAAGGAAGCTGATAAATGTATCCACCACTGTGTAAGGGTAAGAATTGTATCTGCATCTTCCAAAACATTAACCCAAAGCTTGTATTGAACAGCTGGAGGTTCTGGTATCCACAGACCGTTGGGAAGAGACACTGGTGTCGAGTACAAGTCAAAGGTACAGCGCAGCATTGTATATTATTTATGAATTGTAATAGAAATAATAACTAGATATTGTCTTTCTGTCACAGAAGGGTAAAGGCGATATAAAACAGAAAGGGAAGCATGACCCTTACGCGTATATTCCACTCAAAAAGGCTCAGCTCAATCGCAGGTACGACGGCTTATTGAAAATATGTGTTTAATGTCTGTTATGTTGCTAAATACACTTTGTGTTTTAGGAAACGGGCGAAACTTCAAGGCCAGTTCAAGGGGATGGTGCGAGGGGCCCAGAAGGGGGCACTATCTGGAAAGAAAATGCAGAAGAAACGGAAAGCCTGAGGAGTACATAGTTTTCTGTTCTGATAAGACTATTTCAAAGTATTTGTTTGTATTTGCCCTCTGAAGATGAACTTGGATGTGCAGTGAGATATGTCAATGAGTGCCCTCTGGTTTGTCAGGTTTCAGTGGAAATAACTGAAAGTATCATGTCTAAGACTGTGCCTATTGTTTGAGCCAATAATATAATTGTATTGATTTACAATTACATAAGTTACATTTCCACACTGAGTTTTTTGGTGTCTGTATCTACATATGTTTGCTGTAAAATAATTGGCATGAAGAGTTGTTCATTCGTGTTAAGATTTGATCTCATCGATTACCAAGAAGAATCTCTAAGAAGCAAAAGGTTATTTTACATTTTATTTAAGAAAAAATGTTGTACAGAAATGATACAAAAGAACATTTCAGTCTTAAAACTTAAAAAACAACAAATTTATACCATAGAGATGCAAGTATGATGCAGTCTTTAATGTACTGTGTTAGTAAGAAGTTCTGCATTTAATTCTGCGCTGTGCATTACATGCCAGAAAATAACGATCCCCAAATAAGGAATATTCTCAAATCCATTGATAGATTTGAGGAACAATTTCAGACTTGGAAATAAATACAATTTGGATGAAACTGCCCTGCAGTTAAAATCGAATTTGAGTGATACAGTTCGATAAAAATATTAGACCTAAAGTTGATTATTTGTTGTACAGAAAGGTAAAAAAGAGCATTACTGAATTTAAACCTTGGTGGGATATCTTTGGGTTTCAATAAGAAGCAAACAAAACCCACAGAGCATCCACATCCTGTTACATGCAAAAAATGCTAAAAAGAACTAAAAAAACATGCAAAGTTAGATAGAACATACGTTTTTCACCAGGCAATAGGTCATCAAAGTGACGGCGTGTTCCCATTATGCTTCCCAAGCTCTAACTTCACAAAAACATTTTAAAAAATGACTGATTTTGCTGTCCAGCAACAAAGCCAAGAGCAAACTGGGGCTCATGATCAGAGTCGAGGTGGGGGCCGGGACGGTGGGGGTCCGGGCGGTCCTGGAGGGGCTCGTGCAGGAGGGGGCCCTGGGGGAGGCACGCGGGCGGGGGGCGTGGTACGAGGGGGGGCTGCGCTGTGAGCTGGGGGCGTGGTGCGAGGACCTCTGGACGGAGGCTTTGTACGAGGGACAGAGTTGGACACCAGGGGGCGCTGCTCAATGGATGGAGCGGACGGAGGGAGAGAGGGATGAGCCGAGGGGGTCCTCTGGTTCGAACTGGAGCCTGGGTCTTTCGCACGCTGGAAACTTATACAGCGACCCTGTCAAAACACCAGGGAACAAATTCAGCAAATGATCAACTTTTTTGAAAGCCTTCAAAGACAGTTAATCATGGCTCTCACACCAGGGCCCTAAAATACCTCAATCTTATCCCTTTGTCCATTAATTCAATGTTCTGTAAAAGAATGGTCGTTAAAGTTTTTGGTTCCGTCCAATTTCCATTGAAAACACATAAGACCATGTGTGCAGCCCAAGGCAGGGCTGGGACATTTTGAGAACATTTCCCTGCATTTCAACGCCGAAATAATGAATTTGGTCACTGTTGACATCATTTGTTTACACATGTATTATGAGTATTCAAATAAAGTGATAAAGATATCTTAACACCTGTATTTTTAAGACAGACAAGAGGAAAATCATCCCAAATGACCAAAATAAAAATCTTTTTTAAAAGTCAATGTCAAATCAATACGATTTAGATAAATGCAGTTGTATTTGTGTCCAAATGTGTTGTGCTTTGTGCAGTGTTAGTGAGGCCTTCAGATCCTGTAAGCAGTGTGTGTTATGTGAAACGCTGCCCTCTGAGGCTGACAGAGGCAGTATGTGTTCGGTCCTCTTTATACAAACAGAGCAGCCTCTATCTGCATCCACCTGCAAGACAACTGACTTTAGGAGTGCTTCTGTAGTCTTAACACATTTATTCCTCTTTTATATCTCTTTATAAAAGAACAGAAAGTTGTTTATGTCTCGTGTGGTTTAGAAGAAGGTTTTGAATAGGACTTTTCAATAGGATTAGAATGGTTAACACAGGGCCCCTTGACGTTTAGCATAATTTACAAGTCAGAAAGAATAGAGATCTTCTCTTTTTGTTCTCATATGGTTATCCCATCCACAACATCACTGACACCGCACGGACCCCCTTGCTTTTGAGAAAATGTGGGATGGAAGCCACTATAGGCCCCTTGGTGGTCTGATTATAACACCTTATTAAACAGAGAGGCCCTAAAGTCACCTTGGGGTCATTTAGGAGGGCCTCAGCGGCAGTTCGCTTTGAGACTGAAGAACCATTGTTAGTGAGGCTAAATGAGGTCGGTGTAATTGATTAGGGTGAGCACAGTTGGAGGGGCCGCCTGTTTCGATCTTGTGGTGAAAGAGCCAGTTTGTGAGCAGCAGAACAACACCAGAGACAGCATATGGACACAATGAGAAGACAAGCTCATGAATATTTGGAGTATTTGTGTGCGGTGACTGTAAGCATGCCTCCACCAGAACATATGGCCTGAATGAAGCTGCTTGAAAAACAGGAAGGATAGAGGAAGTTTTGGGGGAGGCAACAACACAATCTACAAGTTTAAAACCAAATATTTGTTTCCATTGGTATGCTCTATGATGGTGCAACAAGATCATTACCAGTATAGCGGCATTACTTAAGAAAGGAATAGTGCTGAACTGATCTCAAATATCATCCAAAATGTCTCATGCTCTGCTGTCACATTTACTTATAAGGTATTTTGGAATTTTGAAGGACTACAGGTGAAACTTGTACAATTATCATAGCCTTCAAAAGTTAATTAATTTCTATAATACAACTTAAAATGTGAATCCATTATGGTTTACACTCATCACATGCAAAGTGGCACATGCCAAGCCTTTGTTTATTATCATTTTGATGATTATGGCTCGGTTTCAAAATATTTTCATGGAAAATGCAGCAGAGTTAGTTGAGCCTCTCTATATCATCTTTATCAAGAATCTTCAGACTGGATGTATCCATGCCTGGTACCCGTCCCCAAGTTAGCAGGCCGACAGGATGCAAGGACCACAGACCAATGGCACTCTAACATCTGTCATAATGAAGACTTTTGAGAGGCTAGTACTCCGACTGCTCCTGCCACAGGTCGTGCAGGCTCTTGACCTCCTGCAGTTTGCCCATTAGGAGAACATGGGAGTGGAGGACGCGGTCCTCTGCAGGCTCCATCGGTCTGTGTCCAGGATGGCCCTGGAGGCTATGTGAGGCTGATGTTCTTCGACTTCTCCAATGCATTTAACACCATCCAATCTCTCTTACTGAGGGAGAAACTGGAGAAGACCGGAGTTGATCCCATCTTTACCAACTGGATCTACAATTACCTCACTGTGCGGTCAAAGTATGTCAGGTTAGGGACGAGCGTGTCTGGGACTGTTGTGAGCAATACGGGAGCACCACAGGGTACCATTCTGTCTCCCTTCCTCTTCACAATTTATGCAGACTTTGCACAAAACTCTGCTACATGCCATGTACAAAAAAACTCTGACGATACCGCTGTTGTGGCATGTGTGAAGGGGGGGATGAAACAGAGGACAGGGAGGTTTTGGCTGCCTTCTCAGACGGGAGTGAGAGAAATGGTCTGATTCTCAATGCGTCCAAGACCAAGGAGATGATCAATGACTTTCACAGGAGCCCTTCCCAACAACAGATCACAGTAAATGGGCAGGACATCGAAGTGGTACAAATCAGTGGGGGAGGGTCCCAGCTCAAAAGTGGCCAAAATGACGTGCGCTGACATGCTTGCAATACCACCCCGGACCGATGGGGGTGGACCCAGAAGTAGAATTAGCCAATGCTAACATATAGCATTGGCAGACCTCTCAAAAACGTCTTTACGGGATGGACCAAAAGATGGCTCTTGGCCCCAAAGCTCCGTTCCACATGTGTGTCAATGCTGAGGGGGGTGAATTTTTTTTGGTCCACTCTAGTTTACTTGCTGTGAATTTTTGAAGTCTCTCGTTCAAATGAATGCCGGCTGACGCATGCGCAGATGCGTTTTTTCACAATTTTCTTGTGGGCGGGACCACTCGCGGCCATTTTGGATAGCTCCAGTAGAGCACTTTTTTTTTGGCCCATTAGTTAGAACGGGTAGGGCGACAGTAGCTCAGTTGGTAGAGCATTGGCCTTTGGGCCTGAAGGTTGTGGGTTCGAGCCCACCGTAAGACCTACTTCACGACTCCCACTGATGACTGCTGTCGTTGTGTCCTTGGGCAAGACACTTAACCCTACTTTGCCCATAGCCCCAACTGAAAGATCTCAGCTGCTGTGGACTCACCACCTGCAGGAGGATCAGTGAGGGGCTGGTGCTCTGTGTACTGGTGCAGCTCTGACTGCCACCCCCCAACCCAGAAATGGATTAAGGGGAAGAAAATGGATGGATGGATGGATGGATAGTTAGAACGGCGGAGATAGACGTGACTCTGTCCGTTAATATATATAGTCTATGGTACAAATACCTAGGAATCCACCTGGATCACAGACTGGACTGCTCAGCTCAGGCCAATGCTGTCTATAAGAAAGGTCAGAGCAGACTCTTCTTCCTGAGAAGACTGAGGTCCTTTGATGTGAGCAGTCAGATGTTGCACATATTTTACCAGTCTGTTGTAGCTAGTGCCGTGTTCTTCGGGAATGCGTGTTGGGGCGGCAGTCTGACTTTGAGAGTCGGTAACCGGCTTGGCAGAATGATCAGGAAATGTGTCTCTGTGATGGGGAGAAGTGTGGACTCTGTGGGAGCTGTGCTGGAGAGAAGGATGAGGTCTAATGCAGGGCATCCTGGGTTGCTCCAGACACCCTCTGCATGGCACTATGGCCGCTCAGAGGAGGAATTGTCGCAAGGACGTAACGTTTTAAGAGATTCTTTGTTCCTTTGGCTGTCAGACTGTACAACAGACCTGGATGAGTTAAAATATGCACTATTGTTACGTATTTAGTTAGAAATAGGGCTGGGCAATAATTCGAATTTAGGCAATTCATCGGCTTTTGAAAAAAAATTGAATGTGAAAAATGTGAAAATCGTGAAATCGAATGAAGGATATTGTGAGAGTTACAGCAGCACATGAATAATACTTGCAATATCAGCACAGTCTGTACAAGACTTCTTTAATAGGTATTGGGGGAAACTAATTTAAAATAGTTTTAAAACTTGAATATTGAGCGGAAAGATCAAAACATATGTTTAAGGGCAAAGTCTGTCTTCTGTGACTTTAATGACATTTTTTTTAAAATCGGAATCGTCCAAGAAATAAAATCGAGATTTTACTTTTTTGCCATATCGCTCTGCCCTTGTTAGAAATGTTAGTTAGTGAGACATTTTTATAATGGATGTGCTTATGTGTTGGATGGATTCAGCTGCTGGACACCTGAATCAATAAAGTATCTATCTATCTATCTATCTATCTATGTCAAAATAATAACAAACAAAGGCTTGATATTTGTCACTTTGAGTGTAATGAGACTGTAATATTATTTTCCACAATGCAAGTTGTTACAGAATTAAAGTAAATGTTAAGAAATTAACTATATTCTATTTTTCTGAGTTTCACGTGTTTACTGTATGGACTTATTTAAATCAGATGTTTTCTTTTTCAGACTTCACTTTGCCAGCTGTTAACAACATGCTCTGAATTCTTCCAGAAGAGAGGAGAAACACTTAAAACTCCCTGAATCTTCCCTGAATCCTAATTGACTGTTTTTGCCTCAAGACTTTATCCTCAAGCAAATATACAAACACATTACAGTGAAGAGAATACTCCCAGATCCTAGACCTTTCACATTAATACCACATACTCAACAATCATAATAGAGAAATAAGACCAAAGTCGAAGAGGATAGAATAAATGCAAGGTTATACAAAGTTTGTTATTGGGCCATTAAGAGACCTGGCTTTTCTGGAGACCTGGAAACAACATTCAGACACCCAAGCAGTGGTCCCGGGTTTATGAAGTTAGCAGAAATTAAACTAACAGAAAGACACTTGCAAACAAAAAGACCCCTGATTCGGCCAAGGTATTGAATCCATGACCTTCTTGCTGTGAGGCATGAACGCTTCCTCTACTCAGCCAGCATATATTTCTGAATATACACCCCAAATAAAAAAAAATCTTCGCCATCGCTTGATAAATAAAATGAAAATAATTGAGATGTAGATGTACATGTGTTACAGTAAATACGCTTGAGAGAATACAATAACAATTTATCTGTTTAATTTTAGTTTAAAATATGCATATAATAAGATATTTTCCTATAGCTGAAAAAAATTATTATACAGCATCAAGGTGCAAAATTTTCAAAGATATTTGCAGACTAATTGCAGAAGAGGAGCTGTTTTATTTCATAATTGTGTTTTGGTAAAGTGTGTGGGGCCAATCACTGCCATCCCTGCTGTGGGACACATGAACAGAATCTCTTGTGTCACAAAATGGCTTGTGGCTTTTACTCTGTCTGCTCACGTGGAGAACGTAGAGTGACACGGAGACTTTAAGTGAACGTGACGCAAAAGACGGGGACAGCGCGACAGGCAGAAACTGGCATCACATTGATGATACATGTATGTCGCAGATAGTGTCCATGTGATGGTCTTTTGAAGGACAATCATTAAGCTCAAAATAAAGACAAATCTAAATGCAAAATATAAATAGATCTATGTTTTTAAAAAGCAAATAAATGATCACAGACACTATAAGTTTGGCGTACATTTGTGGCAGCAAAGCTTTTGGAGCAGTATCAGGATCTGAGGATCACATTGCGACATTTAATTGATTGGGTATCCATTGTCAGAAGAAATTAATTTATTTCTCTATCCTGCCTACACAGTGTTGACAGAAATGTTTCTTTTACTTGCAATTAAATGCATATTCCGAGACAAGCAGACAGAATGATAAAAATAAATAGATTTAAATTAACATACAAATTTGCCAAATGGGTGTTCTTTGAGTATAGGTCCCAAGGCTATCCTGGGACCTATATCTGTCATCAGCTGTGGTCTGTTCATTGCTATTCACTCGCTGTCCCACTGTTTCATGGCGTGGGAGCCTATTCAGTTCTGCACTGCCTCAATCTTGGATCTACAGTCTATCCAACCATGGGATCGGATCCCTCTCGCAATATGGGCCTTACCGAGGATTTCAACAGTTTTGTTTGTTGAATTGTTCTTTGCTGGTGCAGGGGGGTCTAAGGACAATTATGATCTGTGACATTTACTGACATATGTTATTTTGCTTCCTATGGACCAATGGCTCCTTTGTGTTTGTTAATATTGCATTTCCTCCATTTGAACTGATATGTTGGTGGCAAAATGACGACTGCTGCTGCGATTTAGGGCTATACAAACATAAATGTAATTGAATTGAATTGAAGGGCAAACAGAGAACACATTAGTTGCAGTCCCTAATACAAGAATGCTTAAACAATTCAAAACTTCAGCAGTTGGTTATAACAATTTAGAGACTTGTAAATCATGCAGGGTGTGTCGGCTTTTGACCCTTTCACATCTCTTAGCAAGTTTTTCCTCTACTTGTCCCTCTTTCATGTGTGCAATGGCCATTTTATTTTTCCCGATTAATGACCCGTGAAGCTATTTCTGTGGGTCATTGTCGCTCTGGGCTTGGGACCGCGGCCATTTAAAGAAAAACAGACAAAAGATCTTGAAACTTGTGTTGGGAGCAAGAAGAATTGTCCAGTTTAGAGACGATTCAAAGATGGAAATAATGAATGTAACAGCAGCTTTTATAGACTACAGATACAGTACATGCACGCACTGTTGGCCCGTACAGACGACGTGTGTTCTGTGGTGGACAAAAGGGTCTAGATACGGCTCAAGTGATGAAAGACCACATTGACGCTGCAGCAGATGCTTCCCCCTGACAAACGGAGTGGGGACAAAATGTGTGTGTGCAATTTGGGGGAAAAAGTGAAAGGGGTCAAGGTCAACCTCTACAGCTATGTCATTCTTTGTTATTTTATACCTACATTTAACAGTTGAATATGAGTTTCAGAGATCATATTATGCAATGAAAATCAATGATTACATCATCCTATTGCTTTGTTAATTTAAAGTAAAATATTACAATTTCAACAGCAGGATAGTGAAAAGTGTTTTGAGTAGGATTGTAGTCGACCAAAGAATTTCTTGGTTGTCTAAAGACGTACCCTTACAGTTCACTTTGGACGGGCACAAAGGAGGTTTGTCTCTTAAGCTGCTTTCACACCGGATCATGCGTTGCGTCGGCTTTCAATGCAAAGTCAATGGTGATGTGTGTTCGAGCGTTGAAATGCATGTGCGTCTCGGAATGCACACACGGACTGCGCGGTAGAGACGCACGGACCGCCTCTGCCGGCAAAGGCGCGGCAGAGGCGCAGGAGCGGAAAATTGCCGCACGCAGGAGATGAATGTTGCTGAGCGTTTCCTCGGATGCTCGTGCAGCGACCAATCAGAGAGCCTCAAAGTGGTCACGGGGACCTTAGCGGCCTGAGCGAGCAGACTGAACATACTGTAAACAGCCAAAACAGGAGCTAAACCAGGACTAAACCAGGGTTGACAATGGGGGACATAGTGCTTGTGAACACATGTGTTTTCATGCTCCCTTGTAATTGCTTCGAGCGTGTTCGCCGATGCGGAAGTACGGTTTAATAATAACATAAACTTATGGCGCACCTCCGTGAACACATACTGCTGTTATATAAAGTCTCTGGAAGGTCTCTGGACACAGAGACGCTGCAGAGCTGCATTATTGGAGAAGAACTTTACACAAAAAGCCGCTAGCTTAACTCCGTTAGCATCAAAGCCCGCCCGCTACTTCCGCCACTTCCGGCGCGTGCCACCGCAGGCCAGAACGTCTGGTGTGTAGACCCCTGCGCCTGAAAACTAGAGAATGTGCGTCTGGTGTGCGAGGCGTCAGCGTTTGAGCGTTGCCGGTGTGAAAGCAGCTTTACTCATGTCATCTGTGCAGTGTTGAAGAAATTAAAATGAAAGTACACTGAAACAGTTTACAACAAGGTATAACAAGCTGTTGACAATCTCTTAAATATGTACATTACCATTTGTCTTTTGTAGAAATAAGTTTATTGTATCACCCCTGGTCTAACAGTGTGTGCAAAGTAAAATAGCATGTGGCATTTTAGTTTGCTCCACTTTAGCCTCACCTCGTCTCCAGGCAGCGGTCTCATCAGTGAAACCTGGTTGTATCCTCTCTTGAACAGAGCTAAGAGAGCATCCAGCTTCCCCTGAAGACAAACAACAAAAAGTAAGTATGTGGTCCTTCTTGAGGAGGTCAAATTGTGTTTGTCCTGGATCATTGTTGTTGGATGACGGACACACCTGAATGGGAGTGTACCAGCGCCTCTGCTGCAGGGCGCGGCGGGAAGGCTTCCTTGGTTTGGGCTCATATGGTTCAAATTCTTGTTCTGGCATCTTTACAACTGCATTTTTGGGTTTGTCGAGTTTGGCGCCTTCTTCTGTAGACCCCTTCTCCCCCCACCGCACCTTTTGAACAAGACGAAAGAGGTTACAAACAGCCCACACTATGAATCCAGTAGCTTCGTAGTAGAATGTTGATACCAGTACCAGTACTACTAACTTTTTGCTTCTGCTTCTTACTAATCATTTAAAATCTTTTGTCCCAACTGCTATTACACTGCTGAACTCTCTGTAGCTGTGATGTGGACTTTGATGTTTGAGCTTTATTGTTGCATTATGTTCATATGTTTGTATTATGTTTGTATATGTTTGTCAGATCACTTATTTCCTGTGTTTTTATGTTATTGTTTTTTTGTTTTTTATGTGCTCCTCAAATGAACTGCCCCTGGTGGGATAAATAAAGTAGTCTGAATCTGAATCTGAAAAATAATCACAATGATCAACTTGTGAAAGAGTTACTTTGCAGATGATGAGAAAGCATAAACCAGGAGACCCATATAATTCACTCATTGTGGTTAACCGTGCTTCTAAGTTCATTAATTCGCTGGGGTTAACCATGTTTCTAAGTTATGACAGCTTTGTCAGTATGAAGACAACTGTATTCTATATGGTCCATTAATTATTGGAATCAGAATTCTTTTATAGCCATTGAAAGTAACAGGAAGTCACAAACTAGAAATTTGTATTGTAAATGTTGCAACAAAAATAGATATAAAGGCATGCATAAAAACTAAAACTATAAACTAAATAACTACACACAAGACATTTAATCGTGCAGGTTATCAAGAGTTCAGAGGTTTGAGATTGTTAAAGTGACAGAAGGATGGAATGTCGAGTCCAACTGCAGAGAGGAAGAAACTGTTGTTATGGCAGCGTTGTTAAGGTTTAACAGTAATGCATTTTACCTTTTAATATCTAACTTAAACATACATACACACTCATGCTTTTACCAGAGTAGAATCTCTTTAGAGACTTTTTCTACTTTTGCAGCATTTCTAGTTTTTATATTTACCTCCATGCGCTTTATCCCTCCAACACCCCTTCCGCCGTAATAGGACGCATCCACAGTGGGCCACTTCTTCTTAGGCATCCCATCTTCGTCATCTGATTCCTTTTAGAAGAATAAGCACATAAATATATATCCTCCATCACATATCACAAATAGGGTATGTGAAGGGCCTAATGCACTATTATGTGTATAGGGCCTAATTGATATTCACGAGTTCAAAACTCTTACCTCTTGTTTAAAATGTGTAGCGGTTCTGAAGCCTTTCTCCTCTGTTTTTTATCTATGTTTTTATCTGACCCATGATTTATGGGTGTATTAAAGCTGGTGTACCTAACTGTTAAACCACAAAAATAACTATGTAAATAAATCGTGTAAGTAATCTATTCTATCACTAGTTGCAGATGCATTATTTATTCTGCCTTTGTGGCATCTTTAGATCAGCTTGTTTAAACTCTTGCTCAGCCAATCAAAGAGTGACTCACACGGCTCTTTCTTACAAGTATGCAAAATATAACATGTTTTGATATGATTTTGCTTGGAAGACTCTTTTTGTTCGGCCAAGCAAAGCAAATCCACAAGGTGCACTAAATTTATCACATGTCTCAATTTTCTAGAATAGTAGAAAAATATCTGACCGGCTCTGGTGGAGGAGGCGGCGGAGGTTCTTTTATGACCTACGGGTCACAAAAACAATGTCAACAGTGCTTAATTTGAAGACTCAAGATAAAACAGAGATAGATAAGCATTTAAACTCACCACAGTGCAACAAAGGGGCCAGAACCACCACATCAGCAGCAGCGCCAACATCAAAAACACCACCAGGAGGGAGATCAGCACAATCGTCCCGTCAAACTAACAACAATGAAATAATGTTCAGCACATTAACTCGCACTGGAGATAGATTTTAAAAGGGCCAAACGCAAAGTGAAAGTACTCACAGCCTCCTCTGGTGAGAAACACAACAGAGGAGAGCTACAGTACGAGAGACAGAAAAGGAGGAAGACAAAGGACAAACAACCAGGATCAAAGAAAAGTTATTTTGAAAGATAGCAATAGTTGAAAGTAGTAGCTTTTTGTACAGTGTGTCCAACTTACACATTCGGTGGTAGTGATATGCACAGAGCTGGTGATGTAGCTGAGACCTTCATTCATGCTCACCTGTAAGAATATGACCCTGAAAAACACAAATTCATTTTAACTACTGGTTATGCATTGCAAAGTGAAGTCATGGATAAACAGATACTGGGAAAAACCTGTTTATGTTGTTTTCTTCATGAATACGCCAATCTCAGATTTCATAGCAGGTTTAGTCTAATGTGGTAAAAAGTGAACGCACCCTCATTATTGGCATGCAGACACTTGTGCCAGTCATGAAGTAAATATAACTTTAGCTGTTCTAACTCCTGAAATGAAAAGCATATGCTGACAAAGAGCCAGAGCATTAGGAGGTGAGCAACTCTCAGCCCGCAAGAGGAATTTCTTCATTTTTCAATCTAAATCTAATGAAAAAAAAGAGTAAACATATAGTCTAGTAACATCATTCTAATAGGGGAATGGAGGAAAAAGTTACACATGACTCTTGCACTTAACGACAAATACAGTATATACTTCACATACCGCACAGTACTTTACCTCCAGCACAGGACGTAATAATTGAGTTGTCTGTCTGACATACACATGCACAGAAAACTTGGATTTGTGGCCGATACAGACATGGAACCAATTGCATGTCTATAATGGTTAAGTGGGCAAGGACAAGGGGGGCTTTCACTCTTATGTATTTGGATCTTAGTTTGGGTGACAAGGGGAGGAGAGGAGGAAGCAGGGGGGGATGGTATGTTCCTGTTTTACATCTCATCAGAGCATCCCACCGCTCCAAGACCCCCCAGACCACCCCTCAGTGTCCCTCCTCTTCCTTAGCGCTTTACACTGGCTCAGTTTATAACGTGTGTTGACACTCAGAGAGGTGCAGGTGTTGTCTTCCTCGCCTCCTTTATCCTCTCTTTTCCACATGTGAAGATACACAATTTCGGCAACATTTGATTTCAGCCCATATCAATCAAAATTCTGCTCCCTTCATATGTCTGTGCCCTGTGTGCATGTGAACAGGAAGGAAAGCAGCATCCGGGAGGTTCCCAGTCAAAATACATTTGGGTGATGGCAGCATCAATGACTTCATTGTATGAGACAAGGCTGCGCTAAAGCATATATGAGGGAGAAGAGATTTGGTGATGCTGAGAGTCAGGCCTGAATCTAACAGATGACGCCTTCAGGATTATTCTCAAAATATATTATTTCAATATACACAAATCCACCCATTACAGATATTTTTTTCTTGTTGGTTTTAATCTATACACTGTATACTATATCAAATTCTCTTTTCTGTTTGTGCCATTGACTGTAAGTATGTACGTACATATGAATTAGTCAACATTTTTAATCCCCTGTGTGTATCTATTATTTGCTATGGAAATATTGCTTCCAGACAAAATATGATGAAGTCAAAGTACAAATCTGAGTGACAGCAACAAGACAGACTATGTCTTGGAGGTGTCCTATGCTCTGGGCTGTAAAATGTATATTTATGCACTGGGCTCAAGGCGGTCTGGGGTCTCAGCAAGAGTGGAGAAGGTCACTCTCAAAGTCTATGAAAAAGGCTCTTTATTCTAAATAGGGATCACCATAATGTAGGCAATGAAAATCCACAGTCAGTGATGCGCAGAGGTCCTCTCCAGGAGGCTCTCATTAAGCTGTGGTTCTGGGCCCTGCTGCTGTTGTTCCCGTGTGATTGGTGTCGGCCTTCGTTAGCAGTGACAAACTCTGATTGATCACAGAGACTCAATGACTTTGACACTAATTTGTTGAAGGGCAGCTGACTTTGAGGCCCATCAAACTATGCATGATATGAGAATTAGTCGCAAATCTACTGCAAGTGTGGAAATGCACAATGTCTCATTACAATATAGATGGATGCACTCACTTTCCAACTTCATCCACCACAGGAGCAGGACAGAGAAGGAAAGTATCTTCTATTTCAGCTGGTCTCTCGTCTGTGAAAGACACAGTTAAAACATGTTTGTTTCAAATATGAGTATGTCAGAAATTTCGAACATACCAACTGTATGTGTCTCGTTCAGTTTAAAACTGCAGAGGACTTGGTTGATGTTTCTGGCATGGAGAAAACCATTCCCACGCACCACAACCTGGAAACGCTCTGAAACAGTTAAAAACAATGAATAACATTGACATATATGGTTTGTAAACTACAGTGTCTTTAATTGAACACTTCTTGAAGTTTAAGTTTAAGTTACTTCTGATCTAAAGAGACTGAACAGGGGAAACACTTCATGCCTCATTGCGGCTTGTTTACATCAGTGTGCTGTGGCTGCCTGTGTGGAAAGGCTATAATATGCTCCAATGGTGCTAGTGCTAAAGTGATGCTATTCTGTGCAACACCCAGGAGGCCTGTGCATGTGTTTGTATGTGCTGTTGACCTTTTTCTTCTCTGGGGCACTGTTTAAGCTCCTGAAAGAGACTTGCTAGCATATGTCGCTGCGTCAATGTGGATGTTCGGCAGCATATGCTTGAGAGCAGAAAATATTGGCTTTAAAACATGCCTGCAGGGAGGACTCCAGCACTGCAGCGTCAGGAGTAGCTCTGATCAGACTTGTAGCTCTTGTAGAATCCAAACAGTGTTGAATGTTTGAAACACCTTTAACATTTAGGCTGCAGCGTGAAGATCACTGGATAAAAGCACCAGGACGGGCATCACTTTAATTTAAAAGGTCAGAGCTGCCAAAAAACTCAAAATGCATCTATAGCACTGATTACAGATAGCGCTTGTTAAACCCATCAATGCTACTGTTTTATTGTTGTAAATGTGAACATAATGTCAACATATAGAGTTCTCAATGGCAGCCTGTAGTGTCCACTGTTGATGGACTAAAAGGTCAGCACTGTCACTGCTGCTGGTACAGGCTGGTGTCCCGCTGACATGGCCTCTGCCACACATCCATATGCATCTACACCTGAATGTTTGACACGCTCTCTATCTGTATAAATATGTGTGACATTTGTGAGGGGAAGGAATATGCCACGTCTGAACCTTGGCTCCTCAATCATGTTAGTGCAGTAAGACATTGAAGGACAGGGAGGGTAGGGTCAGACGTTAATAAAGCAGCAATCTTTGCTGTCATGTCGCATCTAGCACCAGTACATCGGTGTGTGCATGTGGGCGGGTATTCATCACACTGTGGAGGACTCAAATCTGAATCCTCAGATAGATCAACAGCATAACTTATGCCATTTAAATTCGATGTACAATAGTTAGTCCTTTAGGCTTTGTCCTTAATTTCCAGCAGAGGTCAATATTTTATTTGGATCAACAAAGACCTTCAACAATAAAGATGAAGCTGCATTTGAACTCTTCAAAGTTAGACTCCATAGCATTCTTATCTATTCTCTATATCTATAACATATTGGATGTAGGTTTCACTGGACTCTGTGTCTGTCTCCATAGACAACCAATTTCTGTTCATTACAACAAATTAAGCAGATGCAAGTAGGAACTATGGTTAATGCCAGGTGACAAAGGAAGTCAATTTAATGTACCTATAAGACATCAAAACTTAAAATTTTTTTGTGTTTGTGTGTGTGTGCGCTTGGGTGAGTACGCACGTGTGTGTGTGCGTGTGCTTCTGCACATGCTGTCTCTGGTAGTGTGGCCTAATGCTCACTGTCCAGTCTGATGGCCTGTTTGTGGCAGCCCAAACCGGTCACTTCACATCAGTGTAAGGGGTTTATATTTGCCCTTCATGTGTGGATGCAAAGTAATAAAATCATAACGAGTAGACATACAGGATGTGAACAAGAGAGATAGAGACACACTGTCACAATACCTATGTACAATGTCACTCTGTATGAACACTTCAACACACAGATTACCCTGGAAGCTCCCTAATATATGGAATCAATTCAAGGTCAGCAAAGAAGACCATATTGTAAAGACCTTTCAACATTTGTTCACAACAAAAATGAAAATACCATTTTGTACCTTTACGGTTAAATGGATGCTTTTATAATAACACACTAGAACTTTTTCTCTTTATTAATTAGGCCAGAAAAAGTCTCCAGCATCTCTTAGTTCACTGACCATTATGCTCCTCATCAATCGAATAATAAATGAAGCCGTGGGGGGCCGTGGGCACATGTCGTCTGACTCACTGGCTTTTGGCTGCTTACAACAGCATACAATTATCACCATCACTAATATGTTTCTTTATATTTGTGCTGCGTGAGTCTCTCTACATACTGCTTTGTTTCCCCCCCTGCATTTCATAATGGATAGTGATTGCTACTGGTTGTCTGGGCAGCACAAATGCACACTCTTAAGTGAGTCTTAATAAGGTCATGTCAAAGCTCATCTATCCTGGTGGCTACAGATAAGGACCCCGCTGTAGAGTCTGGTCACTTTCCTCTGCTCAAATAAATTGCTGTCCAAAAGCACAGTAGATGTTGGAGGAGAGGTTATAAGGTGAAACATCTACATGGTTGTTTAGCATATAGGATGTGGCAAACTAGGCCAGAGGAGCAGTCATGCTTAAGGACTCATTGCTAATTTTTCTGACCACAGCCCCTCAACCCCCCTTCACCTCCGTTACTTTGTTGCCCACATGCTGGGATGGAGCGACTATGCTAATTTCCCCCGGCCGTGAATGACAATACGGTCTGTGTCACTGTGTGGTCATAAGCGTCCATGCAATTACTCCAGTCCAGAGGCTGCAGATGACTGTCATCTGACACAATCGCACACTGGACCAGCCTCAGTCTGGTTTGAATGGGAGCTCTTACCTCCTGCACACACGCTAGATGGATCTGCGGCTAAGATTTCAATACAGGACTTCTTTATGATCTGGAAAGAAGATATCATTCATATAAATCACTAAGACACTGTACTAAAGCCTTTGTAAAGTGTCCTACCGAGTCGATGATTCCCCGGAGGGCCTGGAAGCCTCCCCACACAGGAAACACATGTTCCATGGTATCTGCTATTGTTGCAAGCTACAAACATGTATGTTATAGAGGAATGACAGGGAAAACCCCTGAGAAAACCCCTAAAAGTAAGTTATCAAACCTGCGTCTGGTTGAAGTCTTTCACTCCAACACAATAGACTATGGCGCCCATTTTTCTGGCCTTTTGAGCCTAAAATTAGGAAAACATAATTTAACCTTGCAACTCTGTTTAAATGCACCTTTTTCTTTGTACCTCTCTCTGTGCTGTGTCAAACTGCCACTCATTCAACTCCCCATCTGTCAGAGCAATTATTACACTGGCTGTACCTGTGAAAACAAAACCATTCACATTGTATTTTCATGTTTCTGAGCAGTAGATATTCTTAAATTACAGATATGGTACCTTGCTTTTCTTGATGAATTTGTGAATTAGCCTGCAAATAATAAAACTATTTCAATGTAAAGAAGATGTAAAAAATACAAAGAAAAAATAGGAAACTTAAGGTACTTTTAAATAAACTGTAAACATATATAGGATTCACACAATTCAATCAAACATTTGAATAATGGATTATTCAAGTAAATAACACAATAGAATTACCTTACTCAATACTGTGACATCTAATAGATATGATTTTGGTAAACTAACCAAAACTAAAACAGGGACATATGTAAACCTCATATACCTTATACTGTACATGTACAACATAGATTTACCATCTCCAGTCCAAGGTTCATGTATGTGTCTCCACCAGTTTGCACTTTCTTCAGCGCCATTAGGCCTCCTGTGATCGCTTCCCTGAAAGCAAGTTAAAAACAAGATCAATAAAAGGCAGCACATTAATTACAGATATGTGTTTATAAACCACATATCTGGCAACCTGTTCTCTGTCAGACTCATGATGACCTTTCCATGAGTAGAGAAGACGATGAAAGACATTCGGAGCATAGGGCTGCAAAAACAAAAACGCATACACAATTAACACAAATAAAAATTACAAACGTGATAAACAAATAACATATGTACCTGATAAACTTTTCCGCAAGTTGCTCAACAAAGGAATAAATCTCTGTCCAGTGGTGTTTCACACTGCCCGATCTGCAAAGTAACAACGTTATTTTTCTGTAGTATAAATCTAACGTGATAAAAACAGCAATTGTCAGAAATTAATGCATTTGATAAGTTTGATTTCACTGTCTCTCTTTGTTTGAGTCATTATTCTCTTCTTATGCACAGACACCTGTGGATGTCTGTACGTCGTATAAAGCAGCATTCTTATACACCATGTCATAGTGAGCTCTGACAAAGAAGATTCAGAGTGTGAGTCCAAATGAACAGCTATCCCAGGGGAAAGCTAATAGTGGCTAATTGGTGGCGGGCCAGGGGGCGAGAGCCAGACAGTGACAGATGTAGGCCTGTGCCTCTAGCGGCAGGCAGCTGTGGCATGTTTTACGGTGTCCCTGTGTCGTGTACAGGACCATGAGGGCCAGCAGATGTCCCACGCAGGGCAGCAGCTCTAACAACAGGTTGGGGGTCCGATCAGTGAAAAGACTGCAGCACAAACAAGTGAGGGGCACAGGAGTGACCTCAAGAGGGGACACCGTTCAAGGGCCTATTGAAGGACACATCAAACAGGGTTGTAAAGCAGGAGGCTAATCACATTCATGACGGAGCAGGAACGCCCTTATGCTGCTTCACTACAGCTTTCAGATAACTACGGTACAAACTACATCATTTGGAGCAAAGACTTACACTAACCTCTTTTTCAGGGGTGCTTTATCTAATGTTGCATGATACCGATTTGACCAATAACATTAATTTCTCCTTACAATTAAATACTAATACAAAACTCTTGAGCTCCCATCTCCCTAACTATCATCATTCTGAGATGGGCCCTGACACAGATCCTGTTCAACTGAAAATGCAAGAAGAGAAGGGGAAGCACCGCTGGCCTCATCTCGGCCCATCTGGGATAATCTGCTCAATAAGCAAATTATCTGATGAGTGTGCAGGGTTTGTCACAAGTCCTGTTGTACACCCAAAATAGATCTATACAGTATTCTAGAATTCCATGTAAAAACACATTATGATTCACAAAGAATCACAATACATGATTTATTAACTGGCAATACATAAAATAAAAGATAATAAAGGATATGCTGTATTTAACATTCACAACATTACACACAGTGCAGGACATTGATTGCGCTTGTTTTTTTGTTTTCTTATACAAGGAATGAGAAAACACTTAATTTATCAATTCAAATAAATGTTGCATATATTTAAGCCAAACATTGTGAAAGAGATTGCAATTTTTGGCCGAGCCCCACTACACACTGTTAAAAATAATGCCAGCAATGAATAACTATTTGTCTAATTTCAATTAAATTAATTTTAGAAATGAATGCATATTGAAATGGATGACAGAAAACAGATGTTCTCTACCAGCTGAGTTGAACATCATTGGAGTCATGATTAAACTATAAACTGTATTGTCTTCAAAATAATCCTTGCTGTGGAAAATCACTTCTAATCAGGGTCATTTGAGTTGAATAGTTTCTGTTGAAAATATAGAACATATCTAAAAGGCTTCACACAACCACAAACAATGAGTGGAAAAATGTGTTGCGTTATTCATTTCAATTCAATGTATTCTTGTATAGCCCTAAATCACAACAGCATGTCATCTCAGAGGACTTAACAGAACCATTGAAATCACCAACACAGATCAGAGAATCAACAGTTAAGACACAAAAATATTGAACACATATGAATTAGTCCATAGGGAGAGACAAAGGCCTGCATCGGAGAGGAAAAAATCAAAACTCCAGTGGGAGAAAAGTGAGAAGGGTTATCATTCTTTGTCTTTGTTAGCATTCTTCTTCTTCTGCTGGGGTGTGTAAACGTGTAGTAGATCTGACTTTTTACTTATGGATAGTGGAGGGGTGTCACTTTGGTACGCCACAATTTATTTGAAACCAAACCCAAAAGAAAAATAACATTACACCTTTGTCTGGTTGTGGGACACGGAATTGAGGAAAAGAATGCTCTCTGGCATTAGAATGGTGTCAGACATGGAAGAGGAATGCACTGGACTGCTGCTCTTCATTTGAGCGAGTACATTTCCAGACTGCAGTTTTTAGGACCTAAAGACGTTGAGTCTATAGTCCAGGGCCAAGTTACTAGTTTAAATAATAATAATATTTAAACCAAATCTTTCAGTTTGTGGAATTATTAGAGAGCTTGACTTCCCTGTATTTGATGCATTCCACCAGGCAGCCTGCTAGTGCCCTGAGAGCCATGTCTTGATCTTGATCTCAGGTCTGAATAATAAGAATGAGTAGCCAATGACTGTAATTCACATATGGATGTGCATCATACTAGGCCGTGTAGATGATGAGTTGTTGTGCAGGACGCGGTGAGCTCACGTCTGAGGTGCTCTGCTGCTGTTGGCAGCTGTGTCCGGCGTCATCAGCCTGAAACCCTATCCATCTGCCCGCCCTGCCCACATCCCGAGTGCCTGTTTGTTTCAGACAGAGAAGCGGACTAGACTTGCAGCTTAATTTTACAACATCAACGCAAAATAGTTTTTAAACGTTTAATTGTGCTTTCATTTAGGATAGACAGCAGTGACAGGCAAAGATTTGCTCATTTGGATCAAATAAAAAAACAAGCCATGTGAATCCTGCATTTCAAATGCAAGAAAAGTTTATAAACCATAGAGAGGTATAACTGTCTGGGTCGTTTTCACACAGCGCATACGCCTGTAGAGTTTTCAATAGTTGAAGCACAGATTGACCCAAATGTTGATGCGCTTCGCGTTTCCAAACAACTGGGCGGTTGCATGGCAATGTGCAATGGCCATAAATGAACAAAGACATAAATAAAACGGGACACTCACTTGTCCAGGACAAAGTAGAGGTCGAAAGCGCCTTGACAAGACCTCTCCTCCTCCTGTTGAAGCTCTGCATTCACTGCGCCCTTCACAATAAGGAGTCCCAGCGCCGCCACAGCGAGCAGCACACATCTCTGCCTCCTCGCCATCTTTCCCGGGGTCTGATCACTTCTCCAGCTCCGTGACAGCTTTAAAACTCTCACATTGTGCCTTATTTATTTCCCAGCACAACTTTAGGGAAGTGTCGTCAAGTTGATCGGGTTGTAGAACAAGTAGATGCCCGCAGTAAGCAGTTACTCCGAGTTGTGCCGGCTCCCGAAATCTGCTCTGAGCTCAGAGGAAAAAGAGAAGTGGGGCAGAAAGAGGAGCGACACCCGAGGAGACAGCAGCAGAACTGCACTAGGCAGAACTGCACTAGGCAGAACTGCACTAGGCAGAACTGCACTAGGCAAACCCAGGAGGAGTTTAAACGACAGCTCGAAACTTGATTTTATTTATGTATTTATATATTGATAAATGTATTTATTTGTCCATTCCATATTACATACTTACATCATGTATATTCCCTTTACATTTGTGCAACATAAACAAAAAGGAACAGAAGGAAGACACAAAGCCTTATAAATCCTGTCCCTCGTTTTGCTGGTTGCAAAAAAGACATTTTCACCCACCCCCAACATCACCTGTCATTTAGCATTTTTCCTTAATAACAACGAACTTACTGCACACTTACATATTTTCGTTTTCTTCATATTCAGTCATCATTTTGTCCTTATACATGTTTTTTAAATGGAAAGTATTTTACTGGAATATCTAATATAAACAAGAATATAGTTTCCAAAATAACGTGTTTTTTTACTCGGACCTTGACTTTTCTAGATGAACAGCAGTAATTACAGAATATTACAACGGGTATTATATTAATGCCTGATGTCTCACTGTACTGATATCCTTTCTGGAAAATATAATATTTTAGAATGTCCTCCAGTGGCTTCATTTTATCCTTTTCTGCATCAAATTTAGATCAAATCTGACACCATGTGTTTTCAAATGATAGTTGGTGGAGCATTGGCCTTTGAACCTGAAGGTCGTGGGTTCGAGCCCACCACAAGACCTACTTCACGATTGCCACTGATGTGAGCTGTCATTGTGTCCTTGGGCAAGACACTTAACCCCACTTTGCCTGAAGCCCCCGCTGAAGGATCAAGGCTCCTGGACTCACCACCTGCAGGAGGATCAGTGAGGGGCTGGTGCTCTGTGTTTCAATCTCTGTGACCCAGAGATTGATAAAGGGGGAAAAAATTGATGGATGGATGATTAATTTATGTATTTATTATAATAGGATATTGTGAATGAACTGCTACTGCTTTACATTCACCAGGATAAAAAGCGACCTTAGGTTCACAGGCTGTTAGTTATAGAAAAAAAATACCCTAATCGATTAGTCGTAGGAATACTTGCTAGATAATCGTTACTTGTATGTATCAGAAAGATTTCAAGTAAGTGTGGCTCATTGCCCAGATCGGCCAAAACGAAGCTTTGGTGCAGAATAATGCATTAAACGCCCATTAGTTAAGTAATGAATAATGTATTTGCCCGATGGCAGAGACACCCTATATTCATGGCATGAGCCAGACTTACCGCACGCAAAACAGCAGGTTGTAACAGTACATATCTATCCGTGAATCCTGTAATGTGAAACCATGTCCTTGGATAAAGAATCAATTCAGAGACGAGTGTAATGTGGAGATAAGAGTGAAGACGCGAAGTGTATGACAAAGATGAAAGGTGCGCCACCACCTTTTGTGGGATCAGATCTTTACTATTGTGAAAAAGAGAAAGAGTCGTAACAGTCTCAGGAAATCAAATAAACCAGTTTCACAGACGCTGGATTGATAAAGCGCGTGTTTGAGATGCGTGTGCATACAAGTCACCGCGCCACGCTCCAGTGGGGGATAAGAGAGGGGAGGGGAGGTAAGAGGAGAGAGAGAGAGAGAGAGAGAGAGAGAGAGAGAGAGAACGACAGTGCTCAGATAAGAAAGGAGAGGACCAGTGCTCAGCGGTCACTTGGATAAACCTTTGCTAACAGCGTCTGCGAAGAGAAGCCACTGCTACCAGCACTTATGTTCACAAGGTAAGACAACGGCAGCTGAGGACGCATATGCAGGCATAATGGAAAAGAAATCTGCAGCTTGTGCCCCTATATTGTTTGGCTACTAAAACAAAAGTGGCACAAGTTCTTTATACAAAATAGAACCTTTTCCCTAAAATGCTCATATTGTTGTAATTTGTTTTTACAGTTTATCTATGGAGCCCAATTTGGTTCCTCGCTGGGCATGGTCTGCTGAAAATAAAACCATGCTGTATCCTTCAGATGTCCACACCAGTGTGGTCGTTACGCGCAGAATACCATCTGGCACCTGTTTCGGTCCTTGTGTGCTGCAGGGATCTCTCAACAGCATCGCTTTCATAGCCCAGAAGTCCAGCGATAACCGGAACAACACTTATGTATTCAGGGTAAGCCAGTTGAAACATTGCGTGTCTGTATTTGAGCAGTCATCTATTACTCCATTTAGGACATGATCGTTACCTTTGTCTCGGTTAACAGGTGGACCCCGAGGCTTTAAGTGACTCTACGCTGCTCTTCTCTTGGTTGCGTCTCATCCAAGCCGCGCGTAACGCTGATGAACAGAACACAGAGGCCTTTGTGAAGGAGGACCAGCTTCACATACGCACCACGCGGGAGGTCCAACCCGAAGAGGAACTCCTGGTGTGGTACAGCGACGACCTGTGTCATCTGCTGAGATTCACAGAGCTGAAGAGAGAGCCTTCTCAAGGTACAGTCCATCCAATCAAATCATGTGCGTGCAGAGTTGCCGAGTTTATACACAATGTTTTCTCTTGCAGACTTGAAGTGTGCCAGATGCAGCCAGGTGTTCAAACACGAATATTCCTTCCTTGCCCACTGCCGTTTTTTGTGCCCGCACATGAGAGCAGACACCTGGAGCCTGGACTACAATAGACACATAGAAGCACACAGCATCCGTCAAAGGCAGCACAAAGTGACAGACTTCCACAACATCGCCAGGGATTTGGAACAGAAAAACAAATCAGAGGCATCGGGGGACGTCTCACCAAAGAAAAGAAAGAATGAGGATCCAGTTTCACAAAAATATAAAAAATCTGTTTTATTGGAGAAAACTAATATTTCCAATAACATCACAACCTTTGGACACCTCGCAGTGGGAGCGTCAAACCTTGACTTAAAAATAAAACTTGATAAAACTGTGTGTAAAAAAGACGAGGGACTTGACGCAAAGATGATTTTACAACTGGAAACACGGGAGAGCTCTAACACCAGTGCATTTTCTCTAATTCCGACAAACATCCAAGGAGACTTGAAAAGTGCTTTTTGCAAACCTCATAAAAGAACTTTACCTCTCCACAGTGCACTGAGAGCGCCCCCCAGCGGTGTTGAGATGTCTGATTCCGTGGCATCCTCGAGAGCTTTGATGGGATATAACCTGATGACCTCCGGTGTGCTGAGCGCCTCTACATCCTCTGTGGGCTCTTTGAACAGCCCCTTCCATTACGCAGAGCACTGGCCTCGGGGCATAGGCGTCCACTCCACTCCACCGGTCTCTCTCACTGCCCTGCCTCCTACCTACACTTCTTTTGGCGTGTCTGTGCAAAACTGGTGCGCTAAATGCAACCTGTCCTTCCGCATGACCTCAGACCTCGTGTTCCACATGCGCTCGCACCACAAGAAAGAGTTTGCGATTGAATCTCAAGTGAGAAGGAGACGAGAGGAGAAGCTGACGTGCCCCATCTGCCACGAGCACTTCAGAGAGCGACACCACCTTTCCAGACACATGACCTCCCATAACTGACTGTAGGCAGATCACAGTGTTTGTTCAGTGTTTGAAGTGAATGTGCGGTGTCTCCACTAGGGGGCGGTAAAGGCACGTGCACAGTTTGCTGCTCCGGGAACGTGCCTTATCGAACAGAGCAGCGTTGATGAAGTTCAACCACGCTAAATATACGGTAATACGTCATTTATCGCGTTTAACTATGAGCTGCTTTGTGGGGAACAGTGTTTGCTCTTCACAAAACACAAAGTTTGTTTAGTCCAACTTTAACTCAATTAACAAACCGAGAGACTGTGTGTTTGACTGCCTATTAAAGCTGGGGTACGTAACTCTTTTGTTTCATAAATATTACATTTTTTTATCAGAAAGTCTTGTAGAATTAAATTATTGTGAACAAATGAGACCGTATCTTATTAGAAATATGTTTTATTTTACTTTGGCCTGAGAGCTGATTGGCTGGGTGAGGGTCCTCTTTTTTTCACTCTTCTGAAAAGCTGTATCTTGGTTTAAGTCAAGATTTGACACAGGTCAAAACCTTCATCCATCTATTCGTTATGTATATAGCCTAACTCTCTTGAAAAACAGGAGATACGTTTTGTTTAACAGCTGTTTTTTGTGGTTTGAAAGTTTGGCACTCCAGCTTTAATCTCTTTTTGATTGATTTTGTACATTTACCCCTTTTTATTCATGGTACAGAGTGGTGTCTGTCTCCACGATTTATGTATAGTTTAATTTTGTTCAAAACAATTAATAAAATATTTATTTAAAATATGTCACTGGGGATATTATTAGTATGTATTATAAGGGTTATTATTATTACTCTCTTACCTCACTTGATTCGCTGAAGTCCTGATCTTGTGGCTTTATCAGTTCAGTCTTGGGCCAGATAAACAGCACTTTCTGTTGCAGGAGAATGAGGCAAGAGAAGCCACAAGCTTCAATTTGAAGTCAAGTCTCTACCAAAGTAAGAAAAGGTAAACATACTGTCATTTTCGGACTATAAGCCGCTACTTTTTTCTAGTTCTTTGAATCAGTTTGACAGAGTTGTCAGATCTGAGTTTATGTAGTTTTTATTGTATTTTTTCCATCAAGTTTTGTAGCTATAGGTCACTCGTTTATTGTCAAAACAGACATGGAAGATAATGGTTAAGCTGTTGAACACCTTGTCATTAAATCATGTTGTGAACAGTTAAAACAATTGTCTATCTGCTACACTACGACATGAAAACCTGCCGCCTATATTTGAGTGCGGCCTATATGTGGACAAAATGTAAAACTGTTGCTGTTACGGCTTATATATAGGTCCAGAAAGTACGGCAATTCATTACAAGTAGAAGATGTTTATGTAGTTTAATTGTTAGATAAAAAACAATACAACAGCAGGCATGTCCCAACTGTGTCTCCTGGGAATATTGCAGCCTGAAACTGCCTGTTGCAATAATTGGTAAAGTGTAGTGTGTTTGAACCTTTTTTACTACATAATCATTAAGAATCCAAAATTAAACTTTGAGTCAGTCGTCTTGCATTTCCTGCTGTTAAGTCATCCATATGGCCCTTGATCTGAACCCTTGTTTAACAGTTTCACAAAGCCATCCAGTCTTCAACACCTTCAACACCTTGGACTGTTATCAGGATATAATTGTAATGCTAGCTTATTAGTTCATTTGATTTATTACAGCATGTGGCTGCAGTATTGAACTCCACATAGAATAATGCTAGTATTGTTTTCTCAAGCTGACAAACCTTTAAGGAAAACAATCTATTCTTGCCTTCAAACTAAAGGCCCTCTGTTGCCCAATAATGCCTCTGGAGCAGCCCATTAATTGAACCGTCAGTTTGTGGAAAAATAAATATTATTCTTGGTTCCTTTCTTGACTTTGGTTCTGACTTTCGGCTTTCTCCTTCTGAAAATGAGCCGAGACTGCTGTGGTTTTGCTGCCTGGAATAGACTATTGTGAATAGTCTTTAGTAAAGGGTGCATGATTATGTGGTAGCAGTCTGGCTTCACCATAATAATAATAATGCACCGTAATGATTTTTTTTTAATAAATACTTGTTGCAGTTTGATTATAATTATTATTCCCAATCGGAGTCATTTTTTTCCCTCAATGTTAGTCTCAACATAAAGAATTTTGTGAAAGTAAACACATCAGACCATAACATGCATATGATTAGAGAACAGGTTATATTTTGCATACAAGAGAAGGTATAGAATTAGTTAAATGGATTTTAGAAGTGAAATATTATACAAAATTGTTACCTTAATTCCAAATAGTTTGTTATGGTAGTACCAAGTGTGATATTATGGAATGAAACCAGTTATTGTCCATTACTGTCTTTTTCTGAATAGCTAACAGAAGCTTACTGTATTTTTTGGAACGTCGTAAAAGCTACTCTGCAGACAGCCCATGCATGTAAGGATTTTTTTAAGGAGCGGTTTCCAGAAATCCTATCGTCATTGAGACAAATTTACTGTCCAGTGTTTTGTACAGACATCAAAGCCTACGTTGTTACAAACAGATGTGGTGCTTTGGGCCGACTGCGACTCCAGGCTAAGAACTCCAAACTAACTAAGGTTAATGATACAAAGGTGCACTGTCATTTTGTTTTCATCCTCCACTTGACTGAAACCATGAATTAGGCCTTTCCCTAAACATCCGTGTTAAAAGGCCATTGAAGGGAGTATCCTGCCCTTGAGATGTTTGACTGTGGGTCGTAGGCTCCGATAAAGAGGAAGTGCATTGTGTTTTGAAGTTGGAGTGGCTTTGGTCTAATTGGTGCGTAAGTCTGCTTCCTTCTGCCGCCATTAATCCGGTGCGGCCACATCGTTCACTGGACAAGAGGCTTTGGTGTGGGATGGTAATGGCTTCAAGGAGCTTCAGTGGAATGCTGGGTATCTGAGTGGGACTTTCCTGCCTTTGTACTTTTACTGTTTTAAAAAGTTGAGAATATTTACATATTCACTCAAAATAACACTCGATGGCAATCCTTAAAAATGTACTGAATTAAATTATTTTATTCTAACACAAAAAACACATTCTTTTATAAATTAAGAAAACACATTTATAAAATAGTGTCTATTAAAACACAGCGTAACACAGAACCTATAAACCCTGACACAATGTCAAGTTTCACATTTAAAATAGAAAAATATTTACTTTCAAAAGATTATTTAAGGGCACGTAAACGAAAGCCAGACGAATACTTCCTTTTTACAAAGTACATACACAAAACAAGACCCTTCAGTAACCTCAGTCTCGCCAACACATTACAGTGGCATGCATGTACAATCCGGCCTATAATTACCTTTAGATTAACTACAGCTGTACACAGTATGTGACAATGTAATATTGTGCAGTCATGTGTGAATGACTGCTGAGCTGCCAGATGACACACTGATAATGTCTTTCATTTATAGCTTTGTGTCCTAAGACAACATGAGTTTGAACCCGCTGTGAGCTGTTTTTGAACATTAGATCAAAGGGAAAAGTCCCTTAAATGTTGCTGCCCATGCAATATCGCCATAATCAAAACAACTGCTTTGAGACATGTAGTCCTGGGCCTGTTCCTGTTGCTGAGAAAAACCCAGACAATGAGTCTCTCCAGGTTTGCTGCCGCGGGACCAACAACGTGGAAGTAATTTCTCTAGAGACTATGTTCCTCAAGGAAAAAATAAGTCAGGTTACTTCACAAAGTTGCTGTTAACCACAGGTTTAAATCTGTTTTGTCTCTCTCCACTTCACTTGTTGTGCACCAGCCCCTATCTGCAGGAGCAAGACTGAACAGACATGTTGGGATAGACTTTGAGCACTGGGTTGTTGTCTTCGTCCTGGTAGAGCACAGGCAGAGGACTCATCTTCTCTGGGACACAACAGGGTTCCGGGATCCCAGGAATGATCCCAACAGCTCGGACTATGCTTTGTATGGTGGCATGATTAGATGGCCTGGTAACCTGCAAAAATAAGAATTTTGTTAAGGAACATTATCTTTAGTAGTTTAAAATATACTTCTATACAGTTATTTTCCTACCTTTGATATTGGAAATCCACAGGCACCGACACAATAGTAGGCTTCAAATGCCTTGGGTGCAATAACCCACTCACTCCAGCCAATGTCGTCAAAATCCACTCGTAGGTTTCTTCGAGAACAGCTCCTTTCATGGCGCTCGCTGGACTGCCTCCGTCGGGCTTTACGCATTGTCTTTTCATCAAAATCCAAAAGTGGAGATTCTTGAGTTAAACTGCCTTTCTGCTTTTTGTCACTGTGCCTCTTCTCTTCCCTTTGTTCGAGGTGTTTTGTGGACTCCTCCTTGTGGATTTTCATGGAGGCTTGTTCTACTTCTCTTAACAACTCTTCTTTTTTACTCTGGTCAGTTATCTTATCCTTGTGGCTCTTTTTCTTCTGTTTCTCTCCTGGTTTAACCTTAAGTCCAAGATACCAAGAGTTTTCCAGCATGTCCTCCTTCCTGTACCCATCAAGTTTGTAGTGGACACCAGGCAGCTCATTGTTCTGGATGAGGGCTCTCCTTACACGGCCTTGAGCAGACTTTGGTTTGTGTGGTGGGGATATAGAGGCCTCTTCCACAAATGGGTCGTATCTCTGAAGACTTGCTGCTACGCTGTTAGGCTCCCCAAGTGCTTTATCATCCGCATAGATCAAAAAGTAAGGCAGACTTCCTGTGGAGCGCGCCTCCACAGGGCTCTTGTGGTACTGCAATCCAACATCCATCTCCAGTGATAGAAGCAGATGACCCCTGTCCCGTGCCTCCTTTATGACCTGGGTTAGATCTTTCATCTGCCACACCCCTCTCCTGTGGGGGTGGAAGGTTATGTTGCCAAGGAGTGACCCTGTTGACCCAAAACCAACCTCTGACACAGAGGGAACAGAGCGAAGGAGCAGACTGAGGGGCATGGCCAAGTGGGCGGCTGGAGAATGACATAAAGAGCTCTTGAAGCGTTTACAGAACCATGGCTTATGAGGCGAGCGCTGCTCCAGCAGGAAGTGAAATGTAACCGAGAGGATGACCTCGGACTCCTGCAGGCTTGTGAGGTTCAGTCTGTATACAATCCTTTGATCTGATGGCTCTGCAATGACAACAAACCTGTCAGTGTCAGGTGAACAACACACAATGCTTGTACAGAAGTCAGTGTTTTGGTGTACTTCACTCTTTATTGGCTCACTTTCTGTTGCCGCCTCATTTCCCCAATACTTGGCACAAGTAATAATAACTACAATACTACTAGTTATTACACTGCAATACTTCAAATTCCTTATGGAATACAGACCTAAATATACTGTAATAACAGGTAACTTCATACTACATTGTATAAATTATCATAATACATTTTTTTACTCTTAATGTATATTTTAGTTTCTATGTCAAAGATGATACTCCACACTAATACCAGCAGTAGTCATAAGTAGTAGTAACATACAGGTCCCTATCGGCTTTATTTGAATAACTCTTACATTATTTTTTTGCAGCCTATGCCATTTATGTAGGAATGGAGCTGTAATCCAAGTTACAACATTACCCTTTATTCAGACGGCATATGGAAATATTCGTTTTTAAGCTTTCTCTTAAGATTGAAACAACCAGCACGTTCTATCCAGATATCTAGACATTATGAACTGATTGAACAGATTTGGCATTGTTGTGGAAAGTACTTTACATCTCGACTTGGATTACGCCACACCTCTGCAGTAAAAATACACTCGTGTTATGATATGCCATTTGAGAACTTTGTGGGACATGAATGCCTATGGGTTATGTTTTTAAAAGCATCAGATACAGAGAGAGGCGGCGCGATGTAAGCCCCCTGACTCCAGCACGCAGAATCGCACATGTCCCGTAGCCAAACAGGAAAGTGGATGCTGTGACAGCGAGACAGTGGCCCTTTCGGAACGCCTGTTCTAACACCACTGCGGTTTTACAAAGGCAGATTGGCATCGCTCACGGGCAGTCGTGTGCTTTCTGTCTCGTCTGGTGTATTTGATTTAATACCATGCAGAGAAGACACAGCTGCAGCAACAGTGTGCTACAGATGTCCTAAAGTCACGCAGCCAACATACATTCCCAGACTGTTTGAAAACAAGTATTCTGCCATGCTTCTGCATTGAGCGATAATATAATGTATTAAGATGGAGACTTGCAGATCCGTTAAACACTTGTGTTGTTAAAAAGTTCACCTGGCGTGGCTCTGAGGCCCCTGACTGTGTTGCCGTCTCTGAGCCGCTTCTCCCTGCTGCTCTTCTCGTACAGTCTGAACATGTGCTGCGAGAGCGTGTCCTCTTGCTCCGTGTCGTCTGAAAAGTAATCCAATGGGGAATGTGCGCCCCCGGGACCCCCTTTAGCCGCAGGGTGCGACACTGCACCCAGGAAGCAGCTACACACCAGGAACAGGTGCGGGAAAAGCATTGTCAAAGCAAATCCAAATGAGTCAATATGCACAAAACTATCCGGAATCTTCTCTCCGTGTCGCGCGTTCACGTCCTCACTTTCCCTCTTTGAGGCACTGCAGCGTTACTGAGGTCTTTCTGTCGATGCAACAGTTGGAGCTCTTACTTTTACATGTGCGATTGCGAGCGCCAGGAGCTTAGTGAAGCTGCCTAGAGCCGCTGACGTATGTTACTGCTCACAACCAACGAGGTCTCAGTGGAGCGCAACCACGAGCACAGGTCAGCCCCCTCCCTCCGCCTGCTCCAGCGATGATACAGTTAATGATGATGTGGGCAAGGCAGAGCCGGGAGAATGGATTGTTCAAGCTCAAAACTTTTATAGAACACACTGCATTTTAACACAGACTTTAAGTACCTCAATCTTCCAATTCACTGCACAAGTGCCATAGGACAGAGTCTAAAGATATTGACTATAACATGATACTTTGCAGTGCACAATCACCCTAACACTACATAGGGGCATTGTAAATCTGGACGTATGGATTATTTGATGAAAAAAGTTTCCTATCTTTATGTGTACATCAGACATTTGTACATGCTTCAGAATACAACATGATCTATGAGTACTTGAGTGACAGGTAAAAAATATGGTACATGATGGAGCTACTGTTTTTAACTCAGCCCTAGGATCTGGGAGCCTGTAGGTCCCCACTGGGCGTTGTTCTGAGTGTCTCTGATGTCTACAGCCCAGTACCAACAATGCTTGTTTTGTGGAAGTGGTGGTCTCCAGCAGAGAGGCTGTAACTAGCTGGGCCTCTCGGGTCACTTTTGGCTTCTCTGCACACACACACAGGCCTCTCTCTTTCGCTTTCACACAAACATGCCACATATGTGCACGACCGTCCGAACACATAGGCAGCTCATTTTCTATCCCTCAAGGGCCCCACAAGATTCTCTTTCTCATGAGCACCTCTGCAGTGACAGGTCTTAAATCTGGCCTGTTCCCAGGATGCGTGTCACAGGAGACATGTTGACCAGGAAGTTAAGTTGTTCCAGGAATCACTTATGAACCAAACTGACTAATTCTTACTGACCTGCTATGGTCCAATCCCCTTTCAAACAAAACAAAACCTTTAAATAGTTACATGTTTGAACAACTTCTAAAATGTTTAACCACACACAATTCAAAATAAATCTTCAATGATTAGCCTGTTCTAAGGATCTGTCTATTGTTACTCTACCATTCAAGCGTCTTTGTCAGGAGCATAGAAGTGTTCCCCCGCTGTTCTTTTTTTGGCAATTGGAATTAGACGCAGACTGTATTTCATGTAGTAGGACAATGGCCTATATCTACAGGCCTGTAGATATTTGAATACTGAGGACAAATACAAGAGATTTCTGCTGATCTCTGGAAATAAAATTACCCCCATCTGGTTATGTAGGTCAATATGAGATTAAACCACTGTAATGACAGTTGTAATGAATCCCCTGTCTTAGAAAAGCGTAGAGACAAATCCATTCTGCGGCTTTACATGTAACGTTCTGTTTTAGTTACTAATGCTCAAAATGTTGTATTTTCAGAGTTGGTATGACCAAGAAAGGCAGGTATGAGCCAAAGTATCCTGAAATCACTGGGCTTGTATTTAACCAGCAAACCACAAAAGAAATTGCGGGTTTTGGCTTCTGGTAGTGTGGCTGTAGCTTTCTCGATTCAATATTTTTCTGCATACGTGGATCCCTTGTAGCAACAAAGCTACCATTTTATACTTCAGTTTAGGATATTGCAATCACAAAATGAAGGCATATTTAATACAATAGGCTATATATAGAAATTCACTCAGCAATCCAATTATTTGACTTTATGAAATCTCTGAGGGCAAAAAACATTCCGTTGTGCACCAGTGGAAAGATAAAGCCATCATAAGTAGGCAGTTAAATGTGTGGGATGGAGTGCTGTTTGATTGCCCTCTTTTCAATAAAACGTCTTGTGAGTTGCTACTGCCCATTATCTCAGTGGGGAGCAGTGAACCGCAGCAGCAGTTGTATCAGGATACAGTGTCGCAGTGGCTAGTCGTGGTGTGCACTGTGTTCACCATGGAGGTCCCTTTACCGGGCAAAACAAGAGCCTACAGAACAGTGTGTGTGGCACAAACTTCTGGAAATACTCAGCCTTTAACACCTCTGGCTTATAGTGCTTATTGTAGGGGGCCTTAGTCAGTCCTCCAGGAGTGGTTGTGGTATAAAACCATAAATAATGTGGCCAATCTAGCCCAAAATTAACAATGGTGCTTATGACTAACTGGAAGTGTTTTCAGCGCATAAAATATGAATGGGTTGTTGTGCATTCTCTGCAATGTTTACAGCGGCTGTGAGTTACCTTTCTGGACAGCACTGAAATACTTTATGGGAAGCAAAAACAACAGCTCACATTCTAACGCACAGGTCATCCAAGGTCACAAGAAAATAGGTAAGCAAGGCTTAGCCACAAAACTCAAAGCAGAGGATCTAGTTAAGTCGTCTAAACACAAGGGTGAAAACTGAGATAAATCACTGATTAAGGGATTTTTATGTCAGGGGTACCTACTCCTTTGATTCATATTTTTACACTTCACCAATTATTTGCTTTATTGTAAGTCTATAAATCATCAATATAGGATTTACAGACCTGAAGGCAATCGGTGATCTTTAAAGCTAAGGAAAATATTGTGTGAAGAATGTGTCTTATGTTGAATCTGATATTTCACCTCCAGCCTTAAGGTGGACTATGTAGCCCTGAACCAGCTGTTTTCTATTAGATTCAATATTACTGAAATATTACAATGTTGAGTAGAGGCCGATACAATAATTAGTTTTCAAAAATAGCTGATGCATAGAGCCAACATTGATTGGCTCAGAATACTGATGTCAAAATGGGTAATATTACAAACTCCAACACTTGGCTGAAGCATATGTTAATACAAATAACAGAATAACAAATAATAGATAAAATAGACTGGATGTTGTGTTAACTTTTCAAGATCAGGTGAAATGTTTAGTTGCGTTGTTTCATTGTTGTTTTTGAACAGTAAGATTGAAAAGACTAATAATGTAACTAATAATTTCTTACTTAACCTGTAACCGTTTTAGTTGATGGTGAAAAATAGAATGAGCTATTATTCTAACCATTTGCAGAAGACCAAGTTTATTCCCTCTCTTCAAATTTCAATCCCTCTCTAAATATTAACAGTATTGAGTTTATTGGCATCTGTTTCAGAGCTCAGAGTATGTCTGTAACAGTTTGCTTAGTGGGGCATTTCAGGAGACTAAAATGCGCAATAATAATTATGTGATCCTATTATGTGATCTACGTATCGCCAAGAGCTGCTTTAAAAAACAGTGGAAACATAGAGCTGCTGAAAACTGACTACTCATGAACAAAAAAAGATGTGCATATCCAGAAAAGAAAATATTCAGGCCCTCTTTGATTAGAATAAAACTGTTATTGGTGAACGCAGCAGCTTAAAACATCTATGTGTGTTGGCCTCAAGAGCTGCTTGTGTAAACAAATTCACTTCACTACAGAGACAATAATAAAGGGTATATGTTTTCTCTTAGGATTTTGTTTTATACTGAAATAACTTTACTACATGTTTATTTACATGTGTGTGTGTGTGTGTGTGTGTGTGTGTGTGCGTGTGTGTGTGTGTGTGCGCGCGCGTGTGTCTGTGAGAGAGTGAGAGACGACTGTGGAGACTGTAGTTATGCTGGCGGTGCGACTCTATGACCTGTTCACATGGTTAATAAAACAGTCATGAAGCAAAGGAATGTTATGGTTTTTGTGTGAATGAACGTGTGTGTGTGTGTGTGTGCGTGCATGTGTTGGGCCTCCTGCAATGACCCCACGTAGTGCACCATTCTGTGGTCAGACAAAGGGCCGGCTGTTCCCCCCATAACTCCAAAACTCATGGACTGCTCCAACACTGCCAACCGCCTGCCACTAACCTAACCAAATATTTCTCTTCCTCTGGTGAATTTGTCTCAATACCGTTTTGTGTTTTGGGATTGTCTTTCCCCTCTGGTTCTACGCTGTAGATAGGAGGTCGGACGCACAGGTGGTCATGTAATCTGACTGCTCAAAAAAGCAGAATGGGATGTTTTGTTTCAGGAGCGAGGCTGGAGTGCACCTCGTGTGACATCTTGACTTTAGTGTAGAAAAACATCCCACTCTATACCGTACCTCAGAGGGAGTATTATTACAAGTTGAGTTCACATTTGAGTGACTGGGATTATTTTAGCACCACCTTTGTCTTTAGCCTGTGGCCAAATCAAGAAAAGTGGGATTGAAGTGGGATTTAACACATGGTTGATACGTTGGGAGCTGTCCCGAATGATCGACAAGAAAGCTGATCAGTTAATAAATAATGTATGAAAATTGATTTTTTTTCAGTGTATCTGCTTTGCTCTGTTAGTCCGCTTTGGATTCCTATTATTCAGATGCTGGTTTCTGAAAGTTTAGTCCTGATAGATAGTGCAGATTATCAAGATGTTGAAGTTTTAGTACACTTAGTATAAATTCCGGGGATAAGGTTGTGAAAGCACAAATCTGGTTTATGATGAATATTAAGTACATGGTTGTGCAGATAAGTCAAATCAATTGTCAATTGTTTTCATGCAAAAGAAAATAAATGAACATGAATTAATAGGGAAGTTTCTGCTCAGACTACTGCCTCTGCGACCCTGCAAAGGATAAAGCAGAAGTTGAGAAGATGCAAATGTTCCCTCCTGATCAACAGGGGTCGCTACGCAAGACTGACCATTACCATACGCGGTAACTGTGGATATTATTTATTGTCTAAAATTATAATAATTCTGATAACTTGGTTGGCTTGACATGCTTCTTGGAGACTACTATTATTGTTGGAAACACAGTAGCTTGAGGGACAAATAGCGCTTTTTGTGAGACCTACAGATTCTTCACAGGATTATTCATTCACACAGTAGTTGTAACTACTGTTGTAAAGAGGCGTTCTCCAAAGCACTGGTGTATATTATAATTTATGCCTTAAATGACAACTTATATCTGAGAAACATGGTTTTTGGGTGTGCCGGCTTTGCCTTCGTCTCTCTGCCTTTCTTCCCTCCGCTCTCTCCACTGCCTTCCTGGACCAATCCCAGTCCTTCTGTTCCAGCGCGACATGTCTGTTGACAGAGTGGGTCTTAAAAATATTTTGTACGCCTGGAGAGGAAGAGAAGACTCTCTGTTGGGAGGATCCTTGCGTTAACGCGATCCCCCCCAACCCTGTTGCTGTGAAGAAGGACACAGGCTTATTCTTTCGATTAATTGATTAGTTGTTGTACATTTGCGTACAATAAAGTTCAAGTGAAGCCATTGCAGTACCTTCTAACTGAACTGTTTGCATACCATAAAAACATTTACCCAATTCTTGATTGTTTGAGGAAATTCCATATCTTTCTGTCCTCACATTTCACAACCCTTATATATCTATGATGGAGTCTCTATACATAGTGATGAGTCAATTATTAGAATAGTTGTCAGACTATTGAAATAACTATTAGATATTCCTCTGTATATTGCTGATCAGTGTCCAGTTTTCTGCTTTGATCCTTTTGCGTGGTGTGAACAGAGTAGTTGTTTGTAAGTATCAGAAGTATCCAGTGTTGGCTGCGACTCCAGCACTGACTGCTGCTGTTGTGTTTACTCTGACGCCCCTGATATTCATTACAGACCGAGCTGTATGCCGCTGCTTCCTGAACATGTCCCCTTAGACCAATGACCTTCACCTCTACAGAAACACACACACAGGCTCCCCCTTCCAAACCCCATTGGGCCTGTGCCAGAATACAGGAAAAAATTACATTGGGAGATTGATTGACCCAAATCCTGTAATTATTTGGATTTCACAATGTGTACAAGGGTAGCTCTTTACCTTCAGATAAGCATAAGCATAAATGTTTGGCTTGTCTGACTTCAAGTTCACAAGACAATTGAGCATGTATTACGCCAATGGGAGTTGGAGCTGGTCTCAAAATATTGACAAAAAGTCACGCTGTGTTTTTACCCTTGGGAAACTCAAAGCGCCATTATTTGTTACTTCCCCTGCACTTATCTTATGTTTTTACACCTAACTGCAGTGATGTAAAGAACTAATCTAGTGTTTTATCTATGGGGTGTGATATTATTTTTTTGTTTTGACCTGGACCAGAAGGAGTCAACGTGACCACACACATTAACAGTGTCCTGCTGGGATTTCCATGTCATTTAATTCTATTGGGCTTGACTTCAACTCACAGGCCTCCGAGGTTTTCTCAAAACACAGTTATCCCCAGACTCTGGCGCAGTAAAGTAAGCATATATATTATTATGCAACGGGGATATGACAAGCAGTCCTTTTTATAATTTGATGATGGTTTTGTCATATTGACCCATGCTCTAATTTACTCCTGTCTTTCTCATTTAGGTGGAAAGCGTGTGATGTATCCCCATAAATTCAGCCTTCAACACAGTAATAAGCAGGGGATTTGGGTTCCTGTTGTTCTTATTGGATAGGATTGCAGCCTATGATGTCATGTGCATTATTTTCAGGAAGTGCAAATCTTGTTATAACCTTATAACAAGCTCTAATAAAGTCACTAAATAATAATAAAAATAGATTTTTGATCAAAAAAGTAAATAAATTCTATTTGAGTTTTTAAGGACAGAGGCAAAATATCATGACTCTCGGTAAAGGTGCACTTTTATTAATCCCCGTAGGGCAATTCATCTTCTGCATTTGACCCATCCTGTTTCCGCTAAGGCTTACGTCAGGAGCAGTGGTCGCCATAGTACAGCGCCCGGGAACCCATCTCCAGATGTTGATGGTTGGTCAGGACTACCAGAGCTGGAGGATTTTACCTATTGTGGATGTTTTTAGTGGTCGGGGAATCTGGAGGACCCGGAGGAAACCCACACAGGCACGGGGAGAACATTCAAACTCCACTTAGAAAGACCTTGTTCCAACTGAGATTCGAACCCAGGACCTTCTTGCTGAGAAGCGAGAGTCCTCTCCACTCAGCCGTCCGTGTGAACTTCTCATAAGTTCACATTTTTAAAATTGTATTTATTTAATCTTTAATTCAGACTCCGTCGGGCATTAACATAGGCCCCCAACGGACAAGGCCTGAATGGCTCATTAATACATTTAGTTTATTTTGCTTTTGAAACGTTTATAGAAGATGGAACTTACATGACTTGAATACAACTGACACGTAATGAATTCTCATTTGTGTTAATAAACAATAGTTTTTCTAAGAGACCTTTTTTTTTCACACCCTTTTGGATAATCCCCTTCACCTTCATGTATGCTGTTTTATTTATTTAGAGGAAAATCTAAATACAAATAATAGCGTTGCCTTTTGTGGGAGATGTTTTTTTAGTTTATTGCTGCAGATGGATTCAACAGGTTCTCCGATGTCTAGTCTTCATTTATTATAAGAATTTATATGTATCAGTTAAACATGCTTAGTCACTCTGAAAGTTTTACTACAGGAACTTATTCATCCTTTATGATAACCATTACGTTTGCTGAATGTGACGTGGGAAAGCTCTAACTGCTATAAGTCAGGAGCTACAACAGCGTCTAGTATGTGACATGTGAAACATTTTGTCCGATGGTTTTATCTGTTTTATGCATTAGTCAAGTGGCAATTATTCCTGATTAATGCTGTTACTGAATCTTACCTTTGTATTTTAATACTAAGTACAATACTTTTTATGATATCAACGTGTAGCTGTAGTTCAAGTACAGCCTCTGTGTAAATGTAAACCCTGGACTCTTTCATTCACGCCGCAATTTTTGTGAAATTAATATCTTCCCCGAGTGACACATGGGAACTGCAGGACACTGGTGTCAGATATTCTAGTATAAGACTGTGTATGAACATTGTGCACCATATTCAATTTCAATACCCCCCAAAAAAGGGTGTATATTGTGTCTTCATAAGATACCATACCAAAAAAAGAATGACAATGTTTATAACTACCTTCCTGCAGTTCACATTGCTTGTAACAATTAAGTTACAGAACCACAACAAAAATACACATCTGCTTGATTATTTAACTCAGTCCATTTCCTGATCAGGATTAAATCGAATTATTCTCCTGCGCAAAATAATAATGTATATGCATTTTTTAAATATGGGCTTTGATTAACTTTGTGATGGTTTTCATGGGAAAACCTGACATGATGTTCACAGAAAACTTCTCCTTAATCAGTTCCTTATGAAACCTTACAGGGGGTCATGGAAAGGTGCTAACATCCAACTAGCATTAACAACTGTGCTAATTAGTTAATTACCTTGTATTTGTGATGAAATGCTTTTAGTTCACTTCAAGACAGAGTTTGTTGAGATATTAATGTAGGCTGTCGCGATTATACATTTCACCAAAAGGTGGTAAAACTCATTGTAATATAGACCGATTATGTGCATTTAGACAAAGAATTTACTAATCTCACATGGATGTTGTTGACCAATGAAGGAATTTGTTTATCAGATTAACACATTTTGTGTTACATTTTATAACCAAAGTAGCTTTCCTTTGCTGTACTCGCACTATACAGGAGGGGAATATCTTCCAAAGGTGGAGAGCTCAAGCATTAAGGACAAAGTACAGGCTCATTAAGTAGAGGTCCTTGAATAGAGGTAGTCTTTTTAACTGAGATATTATTGTTTGTTTATTGCTACATATTTTATGAGGCTTATGACCTAAGAGCAATAAATTTTTGTGCAAGTGATGACATCATGTGTTTTGATATGTGGAAGGGAATCTAACTCATATAAGATGATATAATAGATTAGATAAAAAATAATTTCAGTTTTGAAGCTTTTACAGAACGATATAATCTAAAAAGAGGAGTTTAGATATTAAAAACTATCCCTTCAACTAATTGAGTTGTAGGAGGCTGAGAGGAGATGAAGCTGTAGTGAGTGTGAATGGTTGGTGACCGTGAGACATGTGGCACACCCACCGTCTGTCTGCACACACCAGACGCCTGCCGCTCACTCGCCGCACGGACCAGACTGAGCCAATTGTCCCGTAACTCTGGGCTCATCCATTCAGGCTGCTGTGTTTCCTGGTCCATCCTGGTTCCACAGAGCTCTTCCCTAATGCTGAATGACAGGCAGGCCCTGATCAAAGCTACTCCCAAGGCCTCCTGTCACCGTCCGGAGGGGCAGAGCAGGCAGCAGTGTGCCCGTGCTGGACGCAAGCCAAGGATCAGGGATCAGACATTGTGGCTGGACTTTATTAGCTTCATTACAGATAATACACTCTCCACAGTGGACCTCCACCACTGCCAGATTATCTGCTCTCTTTGTAGAATAGTGGCTCTGAGCCACACCACTGAGGAGTCCCGCAGTCTGGAGGTAGCGAAGGTCCACAGTAGTCTCATCTGATTGTGGGTTTATGCATCATAAAATCAGACTTATCTATACTACTTATTGGACACACACTTAGTTAAATGGACTGTGAACAACATTGCAGTAATACATGTTGAAAATAATGATATTCATATTATCAATCAATCAATCAATCAAAGTTTATTTGTAGAGCGCCTTTCATACACAGGGCAACAAAGCGCTTCACAGTCCACATCACAAATCATCACATAAAACAAACACCAGAATCACAATTAAAACATTAAAATCACACAAAAGATTAAAACACAATTAAAACATTAAAATCACACAAAAGATTAAAACACAATTAAAACATTAAAATCACACAAAAGATTAAAACACAATTAAAACATTAAAATCACACAAAAGAATAAAACCATTAAAACTTTCAAAATTACAAAAGAAATTTAAAAAAATAAATAAATAAATGACAGCAGTGCATTAGAAATGGAGATAAAATCCTTCAGTTGTATGCACAGGCAAACTATATTATGATTTTTAAATCATGTCCAACATACAGTATTCCCATGAACTACTGTAAAAACATTCATAACCATTTGTATTTGTCTATGTTTGTATTGAACACATACACCACCAGCAACCAGTCTTTTTCCTGGCTCTGGATTGATGGCACAGTCTCTTCTTGGCTGTGCACTTAAAGTCATTGACCGTGTGAACTATTGAGGGTGTATGTCTGTGTGCATGCCCATGTGGACATTGTAGTTTTGTATTTTGATCAGCGCTTTTCTTGTTCATCAATGCTGCATGTTTTTCTTCCATACGGCTTTGATCAGCTGGATGCTGTTTCCTTTGCTCAGCTCAGGTTAAAATATAGGAAGTGTTGGTGACCCCTCTGCTCTCTGCCCCAGGGTGAAACCTGAACAAACTCTATGATCAGAGCAGTTCTTGTGATGGATAAAGGGCCGAAGCAGCTCTCTGGACAATATTATGTTTCTTCTCAGTCACCACGTTGCCAAATCTGGACAAGCAAAGACGAACATAGGGGAAAAGCCAATAACTCTTTGCACTTTCAAAAACAACCTCATTATCTAATATTTTTTATGTACTCCAATGAGACATCCAATTGTACTCTTGTAAGAAAGGAAATGTCTGCTTGCTAGATTATATATATATATATATATATATATATATATATATATATATATATATATATATAAATATATATATACTGTACGTATATATGTATATATATATGTATATACTGTACGTATATATGTATATATATATATATATATATATATATATATATATATATATATATATATATTAGGGCTGTCAAACGATTAAAATGGTGAGTTAATTAATGGTGAGTTTACTCACGATTAATCACATCTTTAACATTCTATTTCAATTCCACTCCAATTGAAGTTAAATGAGATTATCAAATGTAATGACACATTGTCATTGATACCAAATGTACTTGAATCTGTTTGATTTGCTTTATTTATCTCACATAGGAGAAATTTACATTTACATACATTTACATACATTACATTTACAACCGAAATTAGCTGTTAATGAAAGGGGAAAATTAACGTACCCCAGCTTTAATTTAGCGAGTTTAGTTTAGTTTTCAGGAGGAGACACGGTATTTGCGAGCACAGGTTACGCACAGGTTGCAAAGACACAAACACAACATGCAGAGAATAGTTGTGGCGTGTATGGTCTTATATGACCACATTACCGCAGCGCCGTTCACTGTGTTGTTACCAGTGGGGGAGGGTCCCAGCTCAAAAGTGGCCAAAATGACGTGCGCTGACATGCTTGCAATACCACCCCGGGCCGATGGGGGTGGACCCAGAAGTAGAATTAGCCCATGCTAACATATAGCATTGGCAGACCTCTCAAAAACGTCTTTACAGGATGGTCCAAAAGTTGGCTCTTGGCCCAAAGCTCCGTTCCACATGTGTGTCAATACCGAGGGGGGTGAATTTTTTTGGACCACTCTAGTTTACTCGCTGTGAATTTTTGAAGTCTCTCGTTCAAATGAATGGAGCTTGCGCCGGCTGACGCATGCGCAGATGCGTTTTTTCACAATTTTCTTGTGGGCGGGACCACTCGCAGCCATTTTGGATTGCTCCAGTAGAGCACTATTTTTGGCCCATTAGTTAGAACGGCGGAGATAGGCGTGACTACGTCTATTATTTTTTACAGTCTATGTTTGTTACCAGAGCGGCCGCAGCTGCCCCGGTGTGCCCGGGAAGGCGGACTTCAGTTCATAGACTGTAGCCCCACGGTCACGCGCGTATTCTTTTAAAACTTGAATTCCCAGAGACCTGCTCTGTTGCCATCTCACACAGGCATGTGTCCGCGGCATTCTGAGTGATAATATGGATAACTGGGCGGGTCATTTGGACATGCGTTTTTTTTAAAATAACGCGTTAGTGAAAAATGTAATTAACGTGTGTTAACGCGATAATTTTGACAGCCCTTATAAAATATAAAAATTGTCCACTCACCTTTGGCCCTCCGCGGGCGGTTATCCCTCTCTAAGCTCGGGTCCTCTACCAGAGGCCTGGGAGCTTGAGGGTTCTGCGCAGTATCTTTGCTGTTCTTAGCACTGCACATTTCTGGACCGAGATGTCCGAGGTTGTTCCAGGGATCCGCTGTAACCACTCTTCTAGCTTCGGGGTCACTGCCCCGAGTGCACCGATCACCACGGGCACTACTGTCACCTTTACCCTCCAGGCCCTCTCCAGCTCCTCTCTGAGACCTTGGTATTTCTCAAGCTTTTCATGTTCCTTTTTCCGGATGTTACATTGCTTGGAATTGCCACGTCCACCACCACGGCTGTCCTCTGCCCTTTGTCTACCACCACATGTCAGGTTGGTTCGCCATTACCATTCGGTCGGTCTGTATCTGGAAGTCCCACAGGATCTTTGCACGCTCATTCTCCACCACCTTTGGAGGAGTTTCCCACTTAGACCTTGGGGTTTCCAGCCCATACTCTGCACAGATGTTTCTGTACACTATGCCAGCCACTTGGTTATGGCGTTCCATGTAGGCCTTCCCTGCCAGCATCTTGCACCCTGCAGTTATGTGTTGGATCGTCTCAGGTGCCTCTTTGCACAACCGACACCTTGGGTCTTGTCTGGTGTGGTATATCTGGGCCTCTATCGCTCTGGTGCTCAGTGCCTGTTCCTGTGCAGCCATGATGAGTGCCTCTGTGCTGTCCTGTAGGCCAGCCCTTTCTAGCCATTGGTAGGACTTCTTGAGATCAGCCACTTCTGTTATGCTCCGGTGGTACATGCCGTGTAGGGGCTTGTTCTCCCATGATGGGCTCTCCTCCAGCACCTCCTCATCTCGCCACTGCCTGAGACATTCACTGAGTACGTCATCCGTTTTGGCCTTCTCCATGATGTAGTTATGGAGTTTGGATGTTTCGTCCTGGACAGTGGCTCTCACGCTCACTAGTCCTCGGCCTCCTTCTTTACGGCTTACGTACAGTCTCAGGGTGCTGGATTTGGGATGGAACCCGCCATGCATGGTAAGGAGCTTTCGAGTTTTAACATCCGTGGTCTGAATCTCTTCCTTTGGCCACCTGATTATTCCTGCAGGGTATCTGATCACTGGCAGGGCGTAGCTGTTAATTGCCCGGGCTTTGTTCTTGCCATTGAGCCGGCTTCTTAGGACCTGCCTTACTCGCTGGAGGTATTTGGCAGTTGCCGCTTTCCTCGTCACCTGTTCGAGGTTGCCATTTGCCTGTGGTATACCGAGATACTTGTAACTGTCCTCAACGTCTGCTATTGTTCCCTCTGGGAGTGAGATCCCTTCTGTGTGGACTACCTTGCCTCTCCGAGTCACCATCCTGCTACATTTCTCGAGCCCGAATGACATCCCGATGTCATGGCTGTAGATCCTGGTTGTTTGGATCAGAGAGTCGATGTCTCTCTCGCTCTTGGCGTACAGCTTGATGTCATCCATGTGACATTATATATATATATATATATATATATAAAATCTATTGTGGGATCTATAGTATTGATGATAAATTAGTGCAGCTATTTTCATTATTAAAGATAGTGTAGTTTTAGTAATTCTTATTATTATTATTATTATTTATGATTGTAATGCTTTCTTATGTTTGTTCAGCACTTTCAGTTGCCTTGTGTATGAATTGTGCTATACAAATAAACTTGCCTTGCCTTGCCTAGTACGGAAAGGTACCCTTTCTAAACCTCGAATGCAGGACTTGCTTTTGCTTACTTGAATACAGTGTTACTTAAACATGCATGAAAAAAAGTAATGGTGAGGGAGTAACATTAGTCGATTTAATGGAGTTTATAGGGAGTTAAAATAGTGCATTTGAAATTCAAATGCAATATTTTTGGATAATACGCCTCTTTCATTCAATCATGAAATTTTAGATATACAGTATATTTTGCCTCATTTAAGGCTGAGGGTGAACCCATGCCCCATTTGATCTCGATATCTTCAAACATGTTCTCTTAAATCCTGAAGAGCAAATTGTAGACTCGAAGGATTTCACTGGTGCCTTGTGGTCTGTGCACAGTTTTGATGGGGTGAGATTCAAAAGAATAACCACAGTTTTGAGGAAATGAAAAATGAGACTGTAGCCATGCGGGGTCTCATCAGAAATGCTTCCGTATGGTTCCAGAATCCAACCCTGTCATTTCATTTTTCGCTGTGTGCCGTGAATTGATATTGTTACACCCAAATCCAAATGATTAAAGTCAGACTCCCCCAAATCGTTTCAGTTAAGCCCAAAAGTGGTTTGTTGGATTCAGGGCCTCATCCACACTGCTCTAAAACAGTTATTGTGGTTTGAGGCGTGCTCCTGAAACAGAGCTGTATGTGTCTGCTGTAATAGCACACATCAGCATCAGGAGATTCCACACAGATCCTCTCAAGCAGAATATGTGCCTTACATTTTAGAGGCTATTGAAAAGATTACATAAGAGAACCTTTTTTCATCCCACAGAGGAGACATTTCAATGTTGCAGCGCACATTCAGG